CTGTTCTACCTAGTTAGCATATTCGGTATTCCTTTGTTAAGGTGGTCTTGATTTCTCCACTGGACTTACAGTAAGCAGGGACTGTCTTTTTCTGTATTTCCCATCATTCTTCCATAGAGCCTTCTGGAGTGTGAGGAAAATTAGCATGAAGAAGCAGAAGGAAAATTTAGAGTTGTTTTCATTAAACATGGCCCTGCCTATGAACATGAATGTATGTGAAGGACTGGATTAAAGGACAAGGAAGTAATAGAATCCACTGAGAAAGGGTTATCTGCCAGCATAGCAGAAGTGGGTGATTTTTTGTTTTTGTTTTTTTCAGATTTCCTCTTAGGCTTTTTGAGATTAAATAACAGTGCTAAGAACAAACATGAACAAAAATGAAAACAAAAACTGGATAATGGCCACTCTCTTAGTCATATTTAATTGTTATGTATAAGACCGTTTGAAAACTTATGCATGTTTCAACATCTTGGTATTTAAAAATGATTTTAGGAATAGGGAAGCTGAAATTTGATGAACATCACTTAGCAATGACATTATTTCAAAGAAAGCAGATGACTTCTATAAACAAATATTGATCTAAACAAGCAAAGACATCTTGGTTTACAGGACATTGCCTTGCTGTCGGGGCAAGCTTTCTGTCAATTTTTGATAAAGCATGGTACCAACTTCTCTCCACTTGAACTCTTTGCCTTTGTGAGATCTTATATTTACTTGACAGAAGTGGTGAGGTCCTGAATACATAAGAACTCTCCCTTTATTACTTTGTTCTGGAAAACAGAACAAAAATAGGTCAGGAAATGATGGCTGCATATATAAATAATGTAAACACTCCTATCACTGTCCTGGGCAGGACATTTATCATGCACACAGCCACAGACACCCAGATCTGGCCCCCAACTTACAGCTCTCAAATTTTGAGTTGTCAATTGGAAACTTGATTATTATCAGTTTAAAACAACCAGGGAACTCTGGCAATGATTTAACTTGTTTGACTTTCTTAAGCTAACAATTAACATTTTAGACTATTGTTGACAAAATATTTAACTTTCCCATGCCATTTGTGTAAGTGACTTTTCTAATATTCCTGAGAGCTCTGGGGGCTACACTTTTCCTAAACTTCTCAGGCCCATGCAGGGGCCTGTGAAGTACATGCATTCAAAAATGCCTCAGACTTTCACAGTATCACACATTAGAAGTGGAATTTCCTGGGACTTCAAGAACACTTAAGTAAACTGATATCTGAGTTTTAACTTGATAGCACTAAATTTGGAATACCGATCCCTCTACAAAAATAAAAGTCATTTCACCACTTAAAACAGACAACTGAGAGCTGAGATACTTTTAAACCCTGAAAAAACTGGTATTATTATTCATCGTTCAGTAGTTTATTAGTAGTAATATGAGTGAAGATGTCTTGCACTTTTGTAGGGCAGTTATTTTTTTCTCAAGCTCATTCAGAAACATATCTTCATCTGCTTCTCTCAACAAGCCAGAGCAGTATCCTAGTTCTCTCTGTTTTACAGATGACTGCTAAGTGACTTGTCCTAGGTTACCCAGCTGGTTAGGGATCAAGCAGACACAAATTCAAGAGCCATAGGTCCCTTGTTTGATCTGCTTTCTTTCCCCCACACCACATTAGAGAAAAGATAATCTCTGAAGCCAAAGACGACTTAGAACCACTTATCTACCCATCTGAGCAACACAATCTACACAACAGAAAAAAAGAGCTTGTCTCAGGAAAAAGGGAAAGATTAATAATGTACCATGGAAGTGCTAACCTTACTGTTCCATGGACCAGCAATTATTCAGTTTCACAGTTCATTCAAAGATTCAAACATACTTCACTAGAAAATGATTTAGTGCTGAAAGCCTCCTCCAAGTGGTTAGAAATACAGATTTGCTCAAAGCCCTACAATACCAGCTCTCTAAAAGGCCCTGTTCCTGTAGTCTCTGCAGCAGTGGGGCTTCCCCTGAACATGGACTTGAGCTAAATGAAGAAACTGGCTGAGTAAGGGCTGCAGAATTAGGCTTTCAATGTGGACAAAATTAGAACTGACTTAGAGGTTATTCTCGCATTATTCTCGAAACTTAGGCTATTGAAAAGATTCAGAAATTAAATATTCTCCGCAGTAGAACACACCTCAAAGTCAACACTATCCCACTGAACAGAACTAATCCTTTCACCTTCATTCAGAAAACATTATTCACTATATACAAGGCATTGTACTAGAAGGTATGTGGGATACAGAGCTTTCATCTGAGGACATAGCACTTATTTGATTTTAGATGATCAATATTCTCTCCTTTTCTCCAAAGGACATTTATGGCCACTTAAAGCATACAAATTCACTATTAAAGTGATACATTCAGCACACCCAGATCACATAAATCTGGTTATGGACACAGTCGCAATAAAATTAAGAAAGAATTCTGACACTCATTCTGGGCMAAGACCTTTAGATCAACAGTGTCTTTGAAAATAAGAGAAGCCTGCTTGAAGTGAGACCTGCTGGTGTAATGGGCCTGGTGAATCACTCCCTAATGCCCAGGCCTCCTGTCAGACACAATGTTATCAGGTTAATACAGCACTTGCATCACCATCTCCGAGTACCAGGCTGAGTAATAAAGTGCCAAATTTAGAAGCTATAATGGAGAGGGAATTTCCAATAACCAAAAGGGGAGCTGTGGATCAACCTTTGCAATCCCACAGTTTCAATGAAGAACACCATTTTGAAATAAGTTGCTCTTTTCCTTTCTAACTTAATGTCAAACCTCCCACATCATCACTACACTTGGAAAGGGAACCACTCCAAGGGAATGAATATATTAGGAGATGGTTGGAGGGCAGAGGAGAGAGCAGAGGTGGCAAAACAAACACCTTTGGCTTCTGCAGGCTTAGCTCTTTAGTGGAGAAAGGCCAGATGTTATTTCCTCACTTCTCTGCCAACATGGATATTGCTATTGTAAAGCTACAATAACCACTGAAATTGGTTTCATTTCACATCCCAAAGCACTCAAGAAAAAGAGACAGCCTCATCTTACTTCCAAGTTGGACAAAAGCAAAAAATAAACAAACAAAACAACCCAAACCCAAAGCACCCAAGGCTATGAGCAGACATGCCAGGTTCCTTACAGAGGCATGTATGTGAAGGCCCTGAGGAAAAGCCCCTGTGGCCCTTTTGTAGATCCTCTTGTCTTGACATACAGGACAGATCAGCTTTCCCCTTTCAGGGCTGGCCTGGGTGCCTTGCTGTCAGTATCATCCCAGAAACACTTAACAGGAGACTGTGAAACACACAAAGCTGTATTATTGGGAGACTTGCAGACAGATTATAAATTTACTGGGGACAATCAAGGCATTTAGTTACTTTTGGCTGCAGATGCTGGTGACACACACATACATACAAACTTCATTCTTCTTGCCATTCGTGCAATTCTTTGCCTTCCTCCTTCATCCTAGCATCTCTCTTTCACAAAACAAACTCCTACTGCTCTGCTGAGGAATTCCAGGGAGAAGTGGCAATGGAGCAGGTGGTAGAGAAAGGAAATCAGGACTTGAAGCTCCAACAGAACCTCACAAGCTAACTGCATTCAGGGATAAAACAGTAAACACTGGGCAGTTTCACTACAGGTAGTTATTTTTCCGTCTGAAGCTGGTGTTGAAGAGTTGTACTTTTGGTTATCCCAAGTAAAATGTTTGTATGGAGGGGGAGAAGAGCATCGTGGCTCCCAGATCCAGGAAATCTCCCCATCACAGACTTAGGGCAGGGATAAGGGGGAACTGAAAAGAAATACCAGAGGGGCCTGGCTGGAGGATGTCCAGTCCCCACAGCTCATTTTCCAGTTTCTCAGGAGGAGACATTGACACAGTACCATCAGGTTCTATGGGCTTTCTGAGTACTTTTGGGCTAACAAGGCCATTTCCTATTTCTGCTTTACACCCAAGCTGGCTTAGGGAACCTAAAGCTGTGCCATGAGCAGACACAGAACTTCAGGAGCCCCATGAAATTCAGGGGGGAAGCTCGCAGGGCTGCAGGGAAGCATAGGATATACCACCTTCTATCCAATTGCTACTGGCCCAGCAACACTAGGGGAAGGCAGCACATCTCAGGCAAGCAGTCACCTGACCAGGACTGGGACCAAAAAAATCAATGATTCAAGGGATCCTCCTTCTGGGTGGGGTGTGTCTGTGCCTGTGAGGGAGCACTTACAGTCAGAAACTTAATCAGAACTTTTGGGTTTGATATGCAGTCACAAGGAGTGGGTAAAGAGAAGGCACTTCCCAGAATGAAGTGCACTTCCTTCCCACTTCCCTGAATGTTCTGAGTTAGCACTGCTTGATCAGAGTGTCTAGTAAAGAAGCTAGGTGGGAAGTGGGATGGGGTCCACAGGAAATCAGGGAGTAGGCCTTCTAAGAACATCCTTCACTAATCTATCTTTGGGATATATTCCCCATTTTTTAACTTTTTTGAATGAGTAGACACTCAGGGAACTTGTTCTGTATTACAAGTGTTATTTATGTTCTCTTCACCCAAAAGAAGGGACACTTCAAAGGAAGGAGGGGAAACGGGGCAAGAAGGCAAAGGCTTTGATAAAGGTCAGTTGAGCTGATAAATGCCTCCAGGCTGAAGAATGGCTTGTTGGGCCTAATTAGAACTGGCTAGCCAAAGCAGGATGAGCTTTGACACAGGGCCTTCCTCAGCTGCAGCCTCTTCTTTTAAAAGTCCTGAACCCCAGAGAGCCTCTGGAGAAGTAGGACTTCTTATCAGTTAAGGAATATTCTACAGGTGGTGGAAAATCCATGCACGAGCATTGGTGGGATCTGATGAGTAAGAGTACAAAAGCACACAGACAACACACTCAGTGGCCTTTGAGGTCATCAGTGACATCTTGGCCTTCTTTACTGTCATCCATTCTGCACGAGGCCAAGTCAACCTCTACCTTCACAAAAGGTCACATGACCACAGCCAGAAGCATGAGAAAACCAGGTGCCTTACCGCAATCAGGGCTGAGTTCCTCTGGTCCCCTGGGGTTGAAGCTGGTGGCTGCTGCTCTCCATTTATCCTACCACCGCCACCATTATTGCTACTGTTCAACAGATGCTGCTGGTGGTGATGGTGATAGTCTGGTGGGGGCGGTGGGGCTGCTGTTGCTGCTGCTTGGGAAGCCGTAGGAGGGGCAGCAGGGGGCGGTGGAGGGGCTGAAGTGGTGGCAGCGGTGGCATTGGCCTTGGTGTGTTTGCCAGCCTTCCTTGCTCCCTGGCCATGCTGTACAAGGCTCAAGAGCTGCAAGGTGCTCTCCCTTTCACGGTCTGAGCTCTCGGCCCTACCACGTTCATAGCGTCCTTCACAGCTCAGGTGGTGCTGGCGGCAGACAGCAATCCGAGCCCGCAGGCGCTCCACGATAGCACTGTGCACCCTCGGKGTGACTGAGCCCCCTCCTAGGAGCCCCGCCCCAGAAGGCCCCCCTAGCCCTCCTGCGGGGGCCTGCGGGGGCGCTGTGTCCCCCATCTTATTGGACACAATGATTGCTGCCTCTGGGATGATGAGGTGTGAAGAGGCTACTGTGTTGTCTATTGCAGGCAAATCTGTTTTTGACAATGTGAACTCAGTGTTCAGGGCCACATGAATAGAGGTCTTCAGAGGTGGGGGGAGCAGTAGAGAAGGTGTGGGGGAGGGGAGTTAGTAAAAAGAGGGTGGGGAGAAAAGAATGGAGACCAACTGGAGAGGATAAGTTGGAAACAAACCCTGATCAACTTACTCTAATTGCATTTGACAGCTCTGGAGAAGTTGGATAGAGTTGGTGAATTCCCCCCMCACACACCTCAAGAAGCTGACAAGAGCCACTAGGTACTTTGTAAGCACAAAATCTGGGGGTTAGTTCAATAATTCAGGGATTGTCAAGCAAGAGACAGAAACACACAGAAAAAGGAATGGAGAGAGGTATTAATAGAGAGCTGGACTCCCCGCACCTAGTTGTTTCAGAAAATTATGGAGATGTATCTGCAGAGAAATACATTTCTACCATGATGTATGTAACCGGCAGCCTTTACTTTTTCTCAGGTTAAACACACACACACACACACACACACACACACACACACACACAAAACAAAAACAGTGCTGTTTCAGAACGTTTTGAAGTCAATGTTCAAAATGTGCAAAAATCAAGGGCAACGGTCTTTTGGCTTTTGATTTTTTCCTCTCTTTCTCTTTGCTCCAATGTTATCTCCTCCTTGGGGTGCTGCAGGATGTTGTCTTCTCCCAAAAGGAGACAGCTTTTCAGTCCTTAACAATGTCAGTAATTGGACTTTGGGACCATGCTTTTTTCTTCTGCTAATCCAATCACCGGCAAAATCCTCATTCCCTCTAAGGTTTCCGAGCCTTAAATGAAAGCAATCTGAAGTGGCTAGCCACTGAGAGAGATCCTTCGACACATATTTTCTTTCCCGCTTACGGTTCTATTCCTCACCCCCGGCTCTATTCTCATACAGTATCAAGAGACACAAACTCTTCCGAGAGTAATTTACAAACGATGGTCAAACTTACAAACTTCCAGCAAATTGCACCGAGTCATGTCCAGCCACTTTTCTGTCCACTTTTGTACATTCCATCCCGGCCAGTGGATCTGAGGGTCTGGACTCGCAATAAGCAATGTGGTTCTATCTCTTGTATTGCTCCGCTTTATAGATGGGAAAAAAAAAAAAAAAAAGTAGCTTGTATTTTCCTTTCTCTTTCTCGTCTGTTGTTAGCCGCTTGCTGACACTGGCTCCCGCCCGGAGTCACGGCGATACACAGGCGATACACAGGCTTTCATTGTGCTCCGATAGGAGAGGGAGAGAAAGAGAGAGAGTGAGACAGAGAGGGAGAAAGAGAGAGCCAGCAAGCCGCGGGGGGGGGGGGCGGGGGGGGGAGGGCGGGAGAGCTCGCTCGAGGCTCCCTGGTGGAAGGCTGGTGCCACTACTCAAGTGAGTAATCGCAGCCAGGCACCGGGGAAAGGGGAACGCAGAGGGCCTCCCAGTGGCTGAAGAGGTAAATCCCAAAGCTGCGCATCTCAACAGACTTCGCTCAGCCCAGCCTCAGACTTGGTGATGCGGGGAAGACTGGGGAAATTCCCCAACCCCTATGCAACTATTTCACTCTCTCTAAATGTTTAAGAAATTCCCGGCCAGGGAATGTATTTTCCCTTTCAGATCTACATTATGCCCCTCTGAGGATATCATTTTCATCTTTCAATATGTTGTAAATGATACCACTGAGCACCCTAGCGAGAACTCGGTAAGCGTTGAGGAAATGTTCATTAGTAAGGAAGTTGGCGAATGTGTTTGGGAGGGGTGTAGAGAGAAGGGAAATCGTTGCTATTTCGTTAAGGGCATGCAGGTGTAGTGTCTGCCTCCTTTCTGTGTCTCTCTGGGTGGTTTATCTGGGTGGTCAAAGCATATCAATATGGATAAATAAAATCCTTATGCGGATGATGAAATTACTAATACCAGTTCTAGAAGAAAAAAAAGTTTTTTTTTCTTTAAAAATTTAAGATTGCTTATGACAACCAAATGCGAGGCAAGACTTTTCTATAGCTATCTGGTTTACAATGAAGAAAATCAACGTGTACCAGATGACTTTCAAGTTTAATAACACAAACCAAATAGATCTCTTACAAAGAACATTTTCTCCTCAATATTAGATAATCCTGTTTTTAGCCAGCCGTATAGTGGATTCCCCTTGTCAATTAATTATGGAGAGTAAACTAAGGTAAGTACAATATTGGAAGTTGGAACCAAAAATAATCTAGGAGGACTAATTGGGATGTCATTGGATTTGAGTTCTCAAGCAGAGGAGCTTCATTAATTTAAACCAACTCTGGCATTTCAGTAACATGATCCTGCTTCAAACTGAGCCCTGGACAGAAATGGATGGTCAAAATAAATGCAAACATTTCAAGACTGGATTTGTTCAGTTTAGTTCCCCATAGACTGACCTACTGTAGTTCATTTTATTTTTACAAATGTTAGGTTAGGAGTGGAGGCAAGTATACTCTGATAGAATACAGGTTAAAATACTTGGATACTATAAGTGTTTTGGTTTTTTGAGTTTTTCAGATTTTGGAATATTTGTATAGATTATACCAATTGAATATCCCCAAGGTGAAAATTTGAAATGCTCCAAAAATTCATCATGTTGGTACTCAGAAAGTTTCAGATTTTTAGAAGCATTTCAGATTTTGTATTTTTGAATTAGGGATACTCAGCTATAAAACATTTAGCTTTTCATGGGGACATATTTCTGTCTGCCCTATTCAAGGCTAATTTCCTTATTATTCATGTGAAGGAAGGCAGGAATATATCTTTGTTAAATAAACAAAATTTGAATGGCGAACTCTGCCATGAGGTGTCATTAAATGTGAAAGAGTTTTGATCATTTTATATTTGATTTTTTAAAAGTTTTAAAATATCATTAGACAATCTTCTTTCACTGTTATGGGTATTTGACATTCAGCAATCATGCCTGATAAAAGAAAAATTGTAATATTTAAGTTTAAATTTTACTGTTCACTCTATCACCCTGCAATAACATAGGTTTTGATTAATAGCATGGAATTCTTGGTCAAATAAGCTATCCCTAATGATATAAATTAAAATATCAAAGTGATTTATAAATTTACACTAAATGACACATAAATGAATGCAAAATTTATATATTTATGTACCCATAAATATATAAACTTAGATACTTCAGTACATGTATGCATTGGATAATAAACTGAACTATGCTATACACAGACATACCTTAAAAGCTTGGGAAGCAAAGTTTCATAATATAAGCACATATTCATACTGTATTCCAGTGGTATGGGACATTTCTTTGGAATGTCGTTTGCATACATTTACCCTTATACAGCATAGCCATTGATTTCAAGATGTCATTTATTATCGACTCTTCATTTCTACTCACATCACTTATGACTGTTTATTTTAAAAAATTGGTTTCAGGCACAGCACTTCATATAAATGATCTCCCTTGATTTGCAATCCTGGGAGATAGCTATTATTAACCCCATTTGTGAGAAAACTGAGGCTTATAAAATTAATCTCCAGTTCATATAACAAGGACTCAACTCAAGACTGACTTCAAACCTATGCTCTTACCCATCAGGCTTGCTGCCTTAAAATCAAGTGTGAGTGTTGTATGAAAAGAGAGAAGGTTAGAACTCCCCTTGACAAGGATGGAAGAGGCTCTGGGACCTGACAACATGCATACAGTTAGGGCATTGCCACCTACTTCGTGGCATCTAACCATCGTTTTTTTTTCAGCCAATCCCAAAAATACAAATGCCCAATGTCTTCTCTGATATAAGGGGAGTGACTCAAAATGGGGTAGGGAGGGAGAGTATGGGAGGAAGATTACCTCTAGATAAGGAATAGGGGTGGGAGGGAAAGGGAGGGAGAAGGGGAATAGCATAGATGGTGGAAGGAGACCCTCATCATTATACAAAATACATGTATGAAGATATGAATTTGGTGTCAACATACCTTATATACTAACAGAGATATGGTAAATTGTGGTATAAAGGTGTATTAAGAATTGTAATGCAAAAAAATAATGAGAGCTTATGTATAATGGCAAAATTTGGCATGAACATACTTTGTATAATTACAAAAAATTGTGCTGTGAATGGATAATTATGATTGTAATGCATTCCACTATTGTCATGTATGTAAGAAATAAAAAAATCAAGTGTGAAAAGAATTACAAGGAAGTCAAACTACTCTCATAGTAGCTCAAGGAGTGCAACTATCCCCCAGTCAACACTCATGGTAAACAAGCCCCATAATACCTGCAAGGAATGAGCAGTGGATACAACTACTCACTTGAATATGAGTGTACAAAGTTAGGAAACCTAGTTAACTATACTCAATTATGAAATAACTATCCCCCCACTCATTTTTCCTGTTTTATGGTTGTATGCCTTCTCTCATTTCCCCAAAACTTCTGTTTAGTTTTCAATCATGACTTCTCTTTTACTTTTCTATTTTCACCTTACTCATATCTTCATCATACAGAGCTATCAAATGCTATATTAACTAATACTACAGAAATAACTGCCCAGATCTAAAAACATTGTCATGTGAGATTTATAAGCTTGCAATCTATTTTTAGTGTTATAACTGGATCAATGATATTGGTGATAATATAATACAGTATGTCATAATAGCAGTTAAGGTTAATTCTATTTTTTGACATTTGTATTTTCTTATAAAACTATTTGTTTGGGTCCCCTAAACCATACTAATTCTCCACTCCTAACAGCCTGTATCTTTGTCAGTCTTTTGGTGTTACCATGTACTTTGTACTTAAAAGCTTCTTGTATCTTCCAAACATCCACTAAAGTAGCATGCTTGGTTGTAATATCCCCAGACATCAGAAAAACTACCTGTATGCATTTTGTGATCAACAATCAGCTGTTCTCATTGGAAGAGACCAATTCAAGCCAACAACGGGCCTGACCCAGAATTACATAAGCTACTATTGTAAGTACCTGGAATTATTAGTGCCTTAATTTTATGAATTATTGCATACAGTTAAAAATAATAAAAGTTTTACAATTTTCAGGTTGAGGTCCTTTTCCTCGTCCACTATCTCAAGCTTGTCATGTGTCAAATGCAAAGTGGTGCTTCCACAGTCATCAGAGAAACTTTAAAGATCATTTTCTCTGGCCTTCTTTTAACAAATCATTCATGATCCTTCATCTTCCTCACCTTGACTATCATTTGTATAATTCTGTCTTGATTCTTGTTTATCTCACACTTTTGAAAAATGTATGCATTTTTTATTAAACATCAGCATCAGTATTCTCACCACTTTGTGAGTCTTTAAAATCCAGTTTGTTTAAAATAATAATAGGGATAATTACAGAAAATGAATTACAGAAAGTGTGAACTAATCTCCATGTAAGGATTTATCAAAATGTATTTATTATGTGTATACATACATTGAGGTCCATGCTGTGAATCTCATTAATAGACGAAGCGAGGTTCAATTAAGACTTCCAGTAAGAAAAAGAATCTAAAATGCCACAGTATAAGAGATCCTTTTAGAATACCATTATTGAGAATTAAAGATGGAATAGACAGGGTCCATTTGTTCACTCTGCAACTGTTTACTATACTCTGGGAAAATGAAGATGTGCAAAGTAATGCAGATACCAAAATATATTTTTAAAGTGTTTTTAGCTGAACTTGTCTCTGGAATCTTCAGACCCTAACATACATGCATATATTGGGAAAGTTACGGGTAAAAATAAAATATATATTAATCATTAACATCTACACAAAACTGAATAGAAAAAAAGAAATAACATAAAGTATGAAAATACAGATCATGAAATTTTTCTTGAATGTGAGGTTTGAAAGACTCTCAGAGGCCCGAAATTCATTTTTAAGGAAAACTTTAGAAAAAGCATAAAGCACTCCTCTATTTGGAACAGAAAAGCTACAGTCTGATTATGAAGCAAGGGGACTTTACTGAATGATACATTGAGGTTTCTTCTATGGCAGTTTAGATGATAGTAATAAAAAATATATTAGTGAAGAAAACCATTTAATACTGTAAAAGGATAACAAATAGACCCGAACAGAGATTCAACATTAAATATATATAGATGTTAGGCTAAATATTTTAAAATACAATATATTTCTACTAAACTGACAGAACATGATTAGCTCATTCACTTGATAGTCATCTGTAATAAAGGCATTGTTAGATAACTTTAAAATACATTTATGGGCTTAATAATTATTAAGCTTGTTTTCCATGTACAGCAGATAAAAGTTTTATCAGATATAGAGTGCCATTTCATGAGAAATTAAATGAACATGTTTTAAACAAGATATTTTGCTTGAAGATACACAAAAAAAATATAAAATGCCACATAGTACAGCGAAACAAGGTTCATGATCTTCACATTTACAGGAATTTATAAAATCTTCTCTGAAGGAAATGTATTACAATTCAGTCAAACTTCTCATCTTGAAAGTAATCCGCAAAATTGAGATATTCTTCAAGTTGACCATATTTCTGCATATACAATGAAAAAGCTAGTTATTTAACTCAAAGCAGTGAAGATAAGCTAGACCTTTTCAAACTACACACATTTTTCAAACTACAACAGAAATGTATTTCCTAGTAATTGGGAACAAATATCTTTTTATTATAGTTAGGAACTCAATTTCAAATAAAAATACCTAACTCATAGAAAGCATTGGTAAAAAATCAAACAATAGTATAATTAATTTCACAACTCACAAATTATAATTTCCAATTATAATATTTATAGTAGAAATTTAATTACTTTAATAACATTAAAAATATTTATAGGACATATATATCAAAACTAATGACTGCATAAGGTACAGAATTTTGAAAAGATACTTTCCCTGCCCCAATGGAGACTAGAGCTTAGTAGTACTACACTATTAACAATCATAATAAGTGTCATGAAGGAGTAAAAACATGTTATGAGGGTTCAGAAGTCATGGTTTGCTGAAGTGGTTGGAAAAGAATAACATTCAAGCTGTCCTTGGCACAAAGATTTTGTAGGCAAAAAGTTAGCAAATTTTTCTGCAAGAGATAACATGTTCATCCAACAGTAACTTGACAAGGAAGTATGGGCTTTGACTATACTCTAAGGAATTGAGAGAGATAAGATTGAACTAAAGAGATTAAGGTCAGATAATAAAAAGTATGAAATGCTAGGTTAAGGAGTGGAATAATAATTTGACAGGCCATGGAATGGTGCTGAAGATCTAGGAGCAGAGGACTGACCTGATCTGAGGTATATTTTAAGGAAATTGGTAAAACAGCCATTCTAGAACTATTTCACAACCAATTATGAACCTATGGTTACAAGTTAGGTCACGAGGGCCCAAATGTGATAGAAATGAAGATGGAGGATAAGGAATAGGGTGGAACAAGTTAAGAGAGGAGTCAAGGATGATTTTGAGATATCAAGGTGAGAGAGTAGGAGAAAGAGCAGGGCCATTTCACAAGTAGATTGGGGGAGCAAAAGAGATATATGAGTTCAGTTTGGGATATACAGAGTGCAAAATGCTTTCTTCAGTTGAGGAGGTTATGTAATCTTATGGTTTCTTGATGTGAACTCTGAGGGTCTATCCCTAGGATGAGAGAAGATCTCTAAGAACCTTGTGAAGGAAGGGAATGTGAGGAGTCCTTCTTCCTTCTAGATAAGGCCATGAAACCTTTTTTTATAACCCTAAGATCTCTGATTACATCACCTTCTCAGGAAAGGAGGAAGAAAAGAACAASAGGAGGAATAACTTATAAGACTACTTAGGAATTTTCTTGGCCTAGTCTCAGATAGGTTTTACTAGATATAAGTAAAGAACTTTAAGAAATGTATACTTTAAAAGTTTAGTTGTTTGATGCTTTTATCTTATTATTATTATTTATCTTCTTATTATTATCTTTTATTATTATTTTTTCTTTTATGTTGTTTTTCTTTATTATTTATTAATTTGTTCCTGAAAATTTAAATTTATCTTTTATCTTTTTTTTTCAATAGTGGGACTGAACCCAGGACCTCACGCATGCTAGGCAAACACTCTACCACTAAGATATGTCCCTAGCTCTTTTTCTAAAATTTTACTTTGGGAGAAGGTCATTGCCTAGGCTGATCTCAGGCATTCTATCCTTCTGCTTCAGCCTCCTGAGTAACTGGGGTTACAGTTGTGTGCCACAGTATCTGGCTCTATCCAATATATATAAAGGAAGCAAAATCTCTCCTTGCTTTTATTACAAATAATAGCTAACATTAATTGATCACTTTCTAATTGCTAGGACCTATAATAAATGTTTAAAATGTGCTACTTATTTAATTCCAAAATCAAAATCCTAATTCATATTATTTAATTCCTGTTTTATACAAACTTTAGATTTATAGAAATAAACTAACTTAACCTCCAAATTCTATTGCTAGTAAATGGCAGAGCAAATACTTAAATCCATGCATTTAACCATTATAGTAGTATAGTGTTTCTGAGATTTAAAGTGGGGAGGGAGGACAAGAAGGTAGCAGCTTTGATGACAAAAATGAAAAAACCTCAAAAGGGACAGTGAAACAGAGAAAAAGACAGTTGGTATTACTTTTGCCATTTTCTCCACCTAAAGATATAGCTCCCTTAGGTCTTCTTATACTGAGCATTTGGAGAGTTTAGGTCTTATTTTAATAATGAAGACTACTCTCTTATAGTACCAGATGGGCTTACTAATATAAACAGTTGGGACTTTGGGAAAGCAGTCAGAAAATAAAAGGAGCTTGGAGTCCTTTACTAAGAAGTAGCAGCCTAGATCTACAGAAAGGAATATATTTGTCAAAGCAGCTTTGAGAAACTGAAGATATAATCTAATGTAATATGTACTTTCAAGCAGTGGTCCTTGTATATACTCAATTCAAGCAGTGGTCCTTGTATATCATTCAATTTTTAAAACATTGGGGATGTTTAACACCATCAAGGATTCTCATTCAATAAGTTTAGATGAAGCCAGAGATTATATATTTTTTCACAAACTAGGTGATTTTGATATAGGCTGTCAAAGGCAATGTTTTGAGAAACATCATCTTAAAGAATAGGGGGGAAAAAGGAAAGTTAAAAGGTAGGGGGTAAAATTTAAAATTCTAGCTTTGATGATCTCTCCATTTGTTCTTTGTTTTTGTATTTTTTTATTGATTGTTCAAAACATTACAGAGCTTATGATATATCATCTTTCATACATTTGACTCAATTGGGTTTTGAACTCCCATTTTTACCCCAAATACAGATTGCAGAATCACATCTGTTACATACTCACATTTTTACATAATGGCATATTAGTGACTGTTGTATTCTGCTACCTTTCCTATCCCCTACTATCCCCCCTCCCCTCCCCTCCCCTCCCATCTTCCCTCTCTACCTCCTCTGCTGTTGGTTGTTCAATTGTCTCCCTTTTTTCCCTCCCCCTTGCCCCTCATAACCTCTTATAATTTTGTGTATCATTGAAGGCCTCCTACCATTTCCATATCCTTTCCCTTCTCTTTCCCTTTCTCTCCCCCCATTCGTCTTTGTTTACTGTTAGTCTTTTCCTCATGCTCTTCCTTCCTGTTCTGTTCTTAGTTGCTCTCTTTATATCAAAGAAGACATTTGGCATTTGTTTTTTAGGGCTTGGCTAGCTTCACTTAGCATAATCTGCTCTAATGCCATCCATTTCCCTGCAAATTCTATGATTTTGTCATTTCTTAGTGCTGCATAATACTCCATTGTGTATAGATGCCACATTACCAAACTTTTGAATTTTAAATTTTCCCCCAAAATAAAATGGAGCTTTGAGAGGAAAAGAGACTTTTCCTAATTGTTTAATCAGAGTTAGTTTACAATCTGGGTCTGTGTCCAGGTTAGGGCAGTACGGCAGGTAGAAAAAATTCCTGGAAAAAAAATGTAATTGCCCCAAGAAAATAAAACAAAATTGGAAAACAGAAGACATTTTGAGGTAAACATAAAATACAGAATGATTAGATGTTTAACAATTCTTTATGACTTCCAAGAAATTACTACCGAGAGCAGAAAAATAGAGCAATATACAAGAAACTTCAAAGGCAAGATTCACAATTTCGTCTCCTGAGAAAACCACTCTGCATTCCTTATGTATACCTCTCATAAGAGGTTTTAGATCAAAAGACTTTCCAACAGCCAGAACAAACCCAGTCCAGCATTCTAGGAGTATAAGAGTCTGTTGCATTTATTAAGTATCTTGGATTAGGCCTTGTTTTATGAAAGGGTGCTAGTGTCTCTGTTTGGATGCTCCTTGCTTTTAATCTGTAAATGTAAAGTCTTAGAAATAAATTATGATAGAAATAGGATTCCATGGAGACTGTGAAAAAAAAAGGTAGGGGGAAAAGTGAAGAAATTAGAATGATTTAAGAAAAGGGAAGAGTTTTTAGTTATAATTTAAAGTTCTTCTTTATATAATAACTTTTATGCAATAAATTTAGAAATTATTTTTTATTTTATTGGCTCTTTTTAGTTATACATGACAGTAGAATCCATTTTGATATAATTATACAAGCATGGAATATATCTTATTCTAATTAGGACCCTAGACTAGTGGATGTACATGATGGTGAGATTCACTGTGGAATATTCATGTGTGTATATAAGAAAATTATGTCAGATCCAAGTGCAAAACTGACTTAATATAACATACTTTCATCACTTCCTGGTGTTCATATATCTATTACCCAACCCCAACAATCTTATTTTCAATTCCTAGGAAACTTCATCATTATATGAACTTTCCTCTTAATAAAAAATACATTAGTTAGAATTTTGCCTGTCTCATATTATTTAAAAATGAGACATATGTATTTGCTATGTATTTTGGTTTTATTAAATGTTCCTATCACTTCTTCTTTTTTATATTTGAGTTACTTCTACATTCCTTTAGTATAAATAGACTGAAACAGATAATCCTCATTCAGTGCTATGGAGTAAAAACAAGAAGAATGAAGTCAGGTGTTTGAGAACACACTGAGATACCCTCAGGTAATGGAAGAAAAGTGCTTGGAAGAGAAGGGATAAGTAAGGGTAAAAGCAAAGTGTGGAACACAAGCTTGGAGCAGAAAAATAGGAACAAATACTTTATATAAAGCAAAAGAAGGATCTGGTTTAATTGGGAGGTGAAAGCAGAAATAGCCACTGAGATAGGCATTCAAGTTGCACTGAGCCCAGACATTCTGAAGGGTCAGAGTAACTATGGCCACAAGATTGCAGCCAGTGAAAGGAAGCACCACAAAACACATGCAGTGTTGTCACGTAAAGGCTCACACAGAGAAGGATAAACAGAGTGAGGGCGATAAAATCAGAGTAAACAAATTTGACAAATTCTGAAATTTTATCACAGCACAAAAAACTGCATATGGGTTTATGTTGGCTGTAAACCTCATGGTTTCTAGGAAACCTCTGGAGAAACTCTCAAAGACAAATATTTTTTAAAGTGAGGGRAAAATCTCAAAAAGAAAATGAAGCTCTTTGCTATTTTAATATGAAAAAATATGTATATTGTCCTAAACATGTATAATCTTGAAATGCCTTCATTGCCTAATGCTAATTGTTATTCTCTATATGCATAATGTGAAATTTGGTTATTTTCCTCCCTAAGAATATTTTTCTTATTCCAGGACCCTTCTGTTGTCCCAAACCCGGTTAAGCTTTCTTGAAGGTACATGATTTGAAATGCTTTTTGTTTTTTCAAGAAATATAAGGTTTCCCAAATATAATATTACATAATATAAATGATAAGTACAAAGTGATTTTTTCTATCCTAGTACACAATCCTTTTTAACTGTAGTATCACAATAGGTTTTCCAATTTCACTAGAGGGTTGGCAACCTCTAAAGGCATCAATAAAAACACTTAAGAATTTAACATCTAGGAAAATGAAGATGTGTTACTGRATAAATGATGGTTCTTCCCTTATGGAAGAGCACAAATGGAAAAGCACACGCAGGATGGGAGGAGATCTGAAGTAGGCAAAGTAGAAGCAAAGGAAAAGATAAAAATATGAAGAGAGTAAAATGAATGAGAGAAGACTTAAGGATCAAGGTGTCAGAGGTAGGCAAGATCACTAGGTGGTGGTATGAAGTGGGAAAATTATGGTCAAAATGGAAACCAACCATGAAATCATTCTCTAGACTAGAAGACCTCCACTGAAGATGATATGTTCTAAGAAATTTGTTTTATTGTTTTTCTTTCCCTCTGCAGAAGTTTGTTTGCCAAGATCTATTGCCACCCTTGCTCCCACCTACAAATTTCTCTATGATCTAGCCTACGCAATGGATCTCAAGCAGGTTTTTTTTTTTTTTTAAGAATATACCATTGATCTGAGGTGCCTGAAATCTACTGTTTGTTCTCTCTTACTTATCCATGTAACTAGACTTGTTTTAGAAGACTGCAATCATATTAGTATTCTTTTCATGCACTATAAACAAGTCTAAAAGCTCTGTGAGCAGACCAGAGCTATGAGCTGCCAGTAGATCTTTGGGGTGCACTCTTCAAAACCCCACTCTATTCCTGATATCAAATTTAGTGATCAACAGAATATGGGGAAATCAAAATCAGTGTGATGGCCTGAAACCTCCGCATTCCCCTTGATCTTCAGTTACATTGCTCACTGCTCAGTCCCATGTCCTCAAGAAGAGGATGTGGGTGGTATTAGAACTGGCAGCGAAGATCCTTTCCTCAGACTGGCACCAGGTGCTTCTTCACTCTCAGGTCACAAGAACTGTTCTAAAGAATAGGAAGCAGACAAGCAAAGTTGAGTCCTATATCTTGTCAAAGAAAATAAGGGGATACATATATATGGAATACATATATGAAAGGATAGAGATCCTTCACTAAGGGACAAACTAATTATTAATTAAAATTTATCTGATGAACTGAGTGAATTCTTGGAATATCAGGACATCTATTCAGGGTAGGGTAATGATAAGCATGAAAGGAATGTGTGAAAGAAGAGAAAATACAAAAAATGGGGGAAGAAAAGATTGTCTTTTAAATTTCACTGTCTTCTAATAATTTGTGGGTTTTTCCTGATCATAATTAGGCTCCAGAATCTATAGAATGAGAGGGTTCTTCTATATTCACCTTACCTCTTTAATCCAGCCATTTTCTTTTGACTGATTGAAAATTCTTTCCACTGTTTCTTTAACCTGTTCATCCTCAACTTCTTCTGTCTTTGCAAGAGAGCAACATTCCTGGTAGAGTTTGAACTTAAAATGTTTCAGTTTATGATAAATTCTGGTACGATCAGCACATATTCTGCCAACAGTAAACACCTATATCAAGAAATAAACATTACTGTATCACCTATGAAGTGAGTAATATAGTAGTAATGAGTATATAATCTTTCTTGTTTTCAGATTTTCTTTAACATTAGAACCTAGAAAATGCATTCTTATATATTTTGTTTATATAGTGATTACTTTTCTTCTTTTATTTATATAACTAGTCACTGGAGATAAGAGAAAAAAGATATGCTATTTATTAGGGAGCTTACAGTCTTGGGAGAATTATATACAAGATGTTATCAAGAGGCTAATGAGGAGGAGGGGCACTTAACCCAACCCAGAGAAGAAACAAGTTCCCAAATCAGTTACGCCCAAACTAAGTCTTGAAAACACATTTAACCCAGTCTGGGAAGGAAGAGAGAAATGGCTTGTAAGGGAGAAAGATGAACACACATGGAAGCAAGAAAGGACATGAAAGTAATACATGTACATATTAACTGAGTTAAAAATGCTTGATTTGCAATCATTTGCTAATTATAAGCAACATATAAAAGTGAAGCAAACTCTTATACCATACCAACATTAAAATGGAAATTTTTTACTAAATACTCCCCACTCCAAAACTTTGTAAAGCAAAAATAACTTTTGCTTTATTTGTTGCTTTAATCAATGTAGTGTGTGAATAAGGTGCATTGATACTTTATTGTCTGCCAGCTGTAAGAATATAAATTTCTAAGTTTATATGGACTTCTAGGATTTATGATTAAAAATATTTTTTGTGAAATCAACCAACCAGAACATTTTTTCCTTCAGAATGTTTTGAATGCCTGTAGTTTGTTATACAAATCTATTGCTAAAATAGGAAGATAGCATCATTGCGCTAACCAAATGAAATATATTTTAACCTACATTATTTCACTCATTGTAGAAAATATCAGAAGGGGGTCCCAAAATTCTGACATGATCATAATATTATCATGGAGTAACTTGAATAAATAAATGTCTTATTCACTTATGTATTTGTCTCTATGCGTAAACATATAATGGATTGTGCAGTATAAGTACAATAAGCTTTAATACTTATCTACAAACTTGCATTATTTCTGATAAAGAACTTACTATTCTTCTGAAGCTATACTGCAAGGGAGAAAACACATAAGGATTTTCAACAGAGAAGCCAAGAATTTGTTACAAAAAATGAATTTGTTATATTATGATTGGCAATATCCAGATCTTTGACACATTTTCTTGTTGAGATAATATTTTGGGCACCTTATAACCTTTCCTAAAATCCCCCAAAGTTAAAGAAAAGCATGTTCATATTTCCATTCATACTTCTGCAAAAACCTTCCTGTTTTTTTGGATCATTTAGAAGTAAAACAGGTATTATCGTCTCAGCTTGCTTATTAAAGTAGCTTTTCCATTTTAGCATTATTATCAAACCAATCCTGGTGGTAAATGACATTTCAACAATTCAATTGCCAATACACCCCACTTTAAAAAAAAAGGAATCACAACAGCTGCCGTGGCTACTGTTAGTAGTACCCTGTGTGTTTCTACTTCTGCCATTATAGTAGATTGTGARAGACATCTCCTGTAGATGTTCTGGAATAAAATATGGTCAAATAATATTGAGACGTGTAGTTTAATCATACTGTATTCTATCTTTTAACAAAACAAAAAGAATTTATCTTATGGGATTTTAAAGTTAGAACAAAAGGGAAGGAAAGGTGTTTAAAAATTCTTATCTCAATTCTTTAGTATTCTTTAAAAACATCTTTTCATTTTAATTCCTGCCCTCTTGACTTCTACTTACCTTCATAAAAGTCAGAAAATCCTGAATTACCTTTAGAATATTCTCATGCCATATCCCCTCCAAATATGATCACATTTTCTATGGAAAAATCTCATTTTATATGAAAGAGCCCTACTCTTATAAGTTTTCATAGAATACAGTAGATGCATGTTATATGTGTAATATTCCAAGTGAACGTATCCCCTTACCTCATTCTGTGTTTAGTGTACTGTTACAGCCCACTGTACTTCATCATAGGAATTAAAGAATCCAGTAAAACCTACCTTACAGTGTAGTATTCCATTTGTATTAAGTACTGAAACAGGTAAATCTAATCTGTGCTTAGAATAGTTTCCTTATTTAAACGTCCAGAAATATATTCACAAACTATTTTGGTTATCTCAGTATATTTTTTTATAATAGAAAACTATTTAAATAAGAAAGATATTGCCAGAGACAGAAAAATAAGTGCTGAGTGTTCACAAAGCAGATAAACAATATGATATATAAGTGATTTCTTTCTTTTTTTTAACACAATATCTTTATTTTATTTATTTTTATGTGTTGCCGGGGATTGAACCCTGTCCTCACACATGCTAGGCAAGCACTCTACCACTGAGCCACAAACCCAGCCCAATTTCTAATCCACTATACAGGGTTCACAGTTCTGTGAACTGATAAATAATTGAGTCACTTCAGTTATCAATGTGAACTGACTGATCATATATATCCAGAGATTGGAAACAGAACTAAAAATTGTTACCAAATTTTCCAGAAGCAGACAATGCTAAATTACAAAACACAGAAAGCATCTGAGTTGTAATTTATTAGCTATGTTATGTGGATATGTATATTTACATAGGCTAACACCCTAGGGCAAGGAAAAGAATGAAACTTTCATTAAGCAGACTTGGTAGGTTTTGAGGCTATTTTTCTAGGTTCTCATTTATATACAGAGGAGCTTAGCTCTCTGTGGAAGTTAAAGTATGGAGGACAAAGGGGGGAGAAAAAGGATTCTCAAGGAAAGAGAAAAGAAGTTTGTTTTATGTTTCTAGGTTTCCAGAAACAGTGTGATAGAACAGTGAAGGGATTCTATTTTCTCTTGGTCTGCTTATTTTGCCTGGACACATTACCTCTGCTACTTTTCTCAAAATCACTACTTCTTCCCTTCAGATATTAAACATCTTAAGAATTCCAGACAGACTGGACAAAGTGAAAACTGATTCAATATATAGTTCTCTGAATGCTTTTCAAGTTGAACATCTCTTTCCATTCTTCTCATTTATGCCCTCAGATTTCACCACAATCTTGTGGTCCAGGTCTCTCATTTCAGTACCCTACCCTACACTGCTGTAACTAAATTACTCCCATTAATTCTACCTTTAATCAAAGCATCCTTTCTTTCAAAGAAGCTAATCTCTGTTGAGGGGGAAAGTTTTATCATTAAGTATATTCACTGTTAAGTGAATTCTTTTAAAGTATTATTTGTACCTTAAAAAAGAACTCTAGTTAATCCTACAGTTTTGATTTTATATATCTATAAGCAGAACCACAAAATGGAGAATTAGTTTTCAAAATCACCTGAGGATGGATGTGGGGGTGGGCACAGTCTTTTAATGCCCTAGATTATAAATACGTTGATTTCTTTTTTTCTTTCTTTACATAAATGCATTGATACCACAGTTCAATAGGATATAGAAAATTTTAGTGAGTCTTCCTTTTGAAGAAACATTTAATGAAGCAACAATTTAATATTAAAAAATTTCAATACCAGTCACTTGACATACACAATAACTAGGTTAATGTTTGCATGTAGTTATTTATATATACATACATTCTTACATAATGCAAGGACAGCTTATACACTGCTTATTATTTCACTTTCATTTAGCTATAGTATATAACCTTCAAAATATTATTTTAATAGTTATATTCTATCATGCAATGCTGATGTATCACAGACTATTAATCACAACACTACCTTAATATTTTATTTGAATTATTTCTAATTTTTGTATATCAATGCTTATAAATAATACTTCAATTAATTTCATGATCATATCAACTTGTGTTTATATTGACCTGCTCTGCATAGAACAAATTTTAGGCACTACTATATATAGCTTTCAACTCTAGTTATATGTAGCCATCCAATATTTAAAAATATATATCAAACCCTTTCTTCCTCTAGGAATCTTACTTTCCTTGAACTTACTAGTTCTGATATAACCTTGACAATGTTGCATTTTATCATTTGATTTAAAAATACTTTGCTATTTTAAGACATATCAACTGGCATCTTCAGGTAGTTTTATTTCCATGCCTTTAAATAGAATAAAAATTCTACTTAACTTTAATATTTTTCATTATATGACTTTTATTTCATGAGACATTTTATTCTTTAGACATTTCAATCAACCATTTTATATACAATCTTATTCCTTTACAGGAATGTCAGAGCTCTGGAATTAATTTTCCAACTTCACTTTAGTATTAGTTATAGATAGCAAGGACTATGAATGTACAGTAATATCTTTGATTTATGCACCAGAAAATGGTCCTTTAAGTATTAAACCACTTTTTCTCAGATTCTAGATGTCTTGTCTCATAAAGAGTTATAAATCAGTTTTAAACAATGGGGATATATGTATAATTATACTGAGAAAAGAAGCATTTTTATAGTAACTTGCCAAACAAATTAAAATTTTCCAAATGATTCTTGCATCCAGAGGGATCTGGTCAATTATTGCATAATAGTACTGAGGAATCATACTACTCAATTTAGTAGAATAATTCAAATAACTAGTATTTCCACCTTAATAACTTGGAGAATTCAGAGATAACTTTGGGTTTCTATTCCTCCACACACACACACACACACACATGCTCCAAGAATATGCACAATCAGTAGTATTTATAAATGGAGTATTCTTATAAAGTAAGATTAAACAAATGAAGAGAAATAGTCAGCATTTGTTCACATTGTATTCTATGTTCTTGTGTGTCAAACACTTATTCTTCATAGCATCAACTTAAGCATGTGGTAACTGCTCTGAACTCTGAAATGCTTCTGTTATAGTCTAAGTTTAATTATCTTATGATAGGATGAATAGGCACCTTCAATTAGTAACTTGTGGACTACCAATTTGGTGAATTAACTACCATAAAAGTTTTCACATCAAATTCTGCTTTGGAGTCAAAGACAACTTGTACTTGCTCTTCCCAGTAATCTTCCTTATCATTCTTATCCTGTTTTCTCCTCCTCTCACAATTTGGGTGATGTACATACTTAGAAAAGATGCACTGACTTTATTATCTCACAGAATTTGGAAAGAATATGCTATATAACACATATTTTCACATTAAAAAAACCTGCACTCTTTTTCCTTCTAGTATTTTCTCTATGTGAAAATTACTTAGGGTTATTTGTGAAAACTTATGAACTGAAAATTTCTTTTTTTTATTGTTGGTCGTTCAAAACATTACATAGTTCTTAATATATCATATTTCACAGTTTGATTCAAGTGGGTTATGAACTCCCAATTTTACCCCGTATACAGATTGCTGTATCACATCAGTTACCCTTCCATTGATTTACATATTGCCGTTCTAGTGACTGATGTTGAACTGAAAATTTCTAAGCATTGAAAACCAAAGTAAGATAAAAAATACCTGTTTATCATGTGACATAAAATCATCTGTTTCCATAGTCCTGGTATTATACAACTTTCCTGATAAATGCACTGAATATTTGCAGTGGCGATGCAATCCACAAGCCTGACAGGAACAGTTTTCAGGATTCTTCCAATGGATACTCACATTAGAATAATTTTCTACCCGCTCCTGAAAACAATTTAAAAATATAAGGGAGCTTAAAAAAATAAGAATTAACCCAATTAAATATATCTTAGGAATCAAAATATAAGAGCAAAATCTACTGATATTTCTTAATACTGAGTACAGAGTTGGTATTAATTTTAAATGAAAGAATATTTTTTTTTTCAGTATTGGGATCAAACTCAGGGCTACCTGCATATGAGGCATGGGCTCTACTACTGAGCTATATTCCAGTCGCTTAAACATGAATTTTTAGTCCTGGCTCTTAAAAAAATAGTCAAGACTAGGAAAAAAAATGTTTCATATCTTTTTTATAAGAGTTACTACTTAGTGTATGAAGTATTGTTCTCAATGGATTTTAATTTACTTCTTTTCTACTTTTTATTTCTAATTAACATCAATAAGGTATTAAAAATAAGAAAAAATGAGCAGTATAAAATCAGGATAAGAACAAGATGAGTTAATTTAAGCTACATAAAAATTGAGAAAAAAATCATCCATTCTCCATTATATGAGTTATATCATATTTACACAAAATATTCAAGAAATGATTTAATCCTCTCTGGTTATTTGCTATAGTCTTATGAAAATAATCACACAGGAACTAAGGTTTTTACTTATCCAATACTGATAAGAACAGTCTAATAATTGGAATTATTTAATGAGTAAAAGACTGAGAAAACACTTAGTGTGCAACAATAAGCTTCCTTAAGCTGTGAAGTTATTTAAACCTGAGTAATTATGCTTATAACCTAGGTTTGTGTTAGACACTACTGTTCTAATTAGTAATGTATATTAGGTTTTACTACAAAATTTGAAATGCACTCATGAGCATATTTACATGGTTACTAATATACATATGCATCTTCTACCAGTCAATGGTAATTAAGTTTCTAATACACTTAAAACATTGTTTTTGTTTAACTTTCATATTTATCATACTTCACAACACTTTCTGACCTGTCACTTACAGGCTGAAATTCAGACTGAATACGTGACTAACCACCTTTCCTTCCTGTGTTTGTGGTACTCATGGAAGCACACACATGCTGAGATGAAACATGAGTTGAAAGCTCTGTCATTTTGATTTTCTGAGTGACTGCAATGAGCAGAGAACTCTTGATGACTCACACTGGACATATAAGTGACAAACTTTGTTGGGCTAAAGTATTGTGATTTATTATTTGTTTATTTTGTTTGTTATTTCTTATCTTTTACAGTATAACTCAGCTCATTTTATGATCTTCCTGCTCTGTCTATAATATTTTTGCACATCTGACAGTTACTTTAGCATGGGGTGGTATAAATTCACTATAATCTATCATAGTATAGTAAAGCATAATGTGGCATAAAAGTATGGGTTTTAAGAGTCTGACTATAAGTTTAAATGTTGGCCTGTATAAAGCACTAGCTGTACAATCTTAGGTTACTTAATTTTTCTGAGTTACAGTTTCTTTATTTGTAAAGTTTAGGAGAAAAACAGTGACTTCTTTATGTGGTTCTTTGAAGATTAAATAAGTTTACTTTCCATGTAAATTACTTGGTAAAAGATAAATGTTCTAGAAATATATACTATTTTCTTTCTATTAAAGTAATTTTATGCATATTATAAAAGCTCTGCTATACATTTTATCTTCAAAGTAAGTAAATATTTCCCTTCAAAGTAGATAAACATTTTCCATATCTGAGGATAAAACAGGCTCAGAGAGGTTAAAACTTTACCCCAAATCAAAAAGATATATATATGCTGACCCTAAACTCAAGCCATCCTCTAACTTGAAGTCTCCTAATCCTGTAATCCCATAGCCATCTCTGAAACTTCAGCATCGATGGCAAATTTATCATCATGTAATTCAAGAATGAACAGGCCTTGCATGGAACCACATCTTCTGATAAATGAGGTAGCTAGCTAATGATTAAAATAATAGAGGTATTTTAAGGGGCTTGAACTTCCATTATCTACCATTTTCCTTCTTGATCATAGAATATTAGAAGTAGAAATATAAAGACCCTAAAAAATCATATAGTATATCTTCTACTATTAGAGATTATAAGCAAGAAATCTAGAAAATAACATGGAATCCAGGAAATATTATAAATTAAAAAGGTGAATCCTCCAAATTGGTAGAATAACAAAATTTAAGATAAAGAAGTATGTCAAACACCATGTAGGACAATGTTTTTCAAATTGTTTCATGAAAATCAAACATCCAGGTATTTCATACAAAGGAACCTTATAGTAAAACACAAATGTGGAAGCACTGCCTTCTAAACTCCCTACTGAAGATAAACAGTACAAATTCAAATATTAGTGCTCCTATAAAGTCCTCCAGTAAAGAAACAAGATTTTTTTKGGGGGTGGGGGTTGGGTGGAGAGGCGACTCGGTAACCAGCAATCAAATTCAGGGCACTGGACCACTGAGCCACATCCCCAACCCTACTTTGTATTTTATTTAGAGACAAGGTCTCACTGAGTTGCTTAGTACTTCACTTTTGCTGAGGCTGGCTTTGAACTTGAGATCTTCCTGCCTCAGCCTTCTGTGCTGCTGGGATTACAGGCATGTACCACCATATCTGGCTGAAACCAGTGTAAATTAAACCACTGTTTCTCAAAGTTCTCTGTCTATAGAACTATCTCTTCTGAAATAACAATTAACATTGTGTGAGACAATCTCCTGGTTTTAAAAGATAGGCTAAGCCCTGAGATGTTCCAAAGTTGTTTATCATTTAAAACCATCTAATTATTGAACAGATTAGATAGTGTGGATGACTAAAACAATAACAGCCATTGGAAAAGAATTACCCAATTACTTCTATACTTTAGAAGACTATTCCATCTGACTGGATATTGAAATCTTGAGAGGTCTACATACCCCACTGACTTGAGAGGTCCCATCCCCACCCAACCAAGATTAAAAACAAATTATACCTTATATTGCTCTTTCCAACGACTTCTAGAAGCTAAACTCTCTAGACGGGGCTGAACAAAGCGATTATCCAAATAATGAAGAGATGTCAACATATCTTGTGCATATGATTTTTGCCTGGTGCCATCTGTTTAGGGGGTCAACAACAAAAATAAAACAATCACTTTTTCTACATACAATATTGAAGCAATTGTACATTTAAGGATCTCTTTCCATAGCTTTAGAAAGATGGATGGTTGGCTGATTAATTGGTTGGAAATACTTTGAAATATAAAAAAAAATGTAATGGGGTAAAAAAAAAAATCCAAGCATAAGGGCAAGAAAACAGGGTAAAAGGCTCTATTTTTTCTCCTTGTAAACATCAAACTTTTACATTATTTTCTAATTAAAAAAAGAGTCAGGGGCTACGGTTGTGACTTAGCGGTAGAGTGCTTGCCTTGCAGGTGTGAGGTCCTGGCTTCCATCTTTAGCACAACATAAAAATAAATAAAAAAATAAAATGTATAAAAAAATAAAAATATACTCTTAAAAAATAGCCAGATGAAAATGCCTACCAAATTACTTCTTTTATTCTCATCTTTACAAAACTAACATGGATCAACCACTGAACTCCAGAAAAAAAAAAAAAAGTTCTGACTAGGCTTTCAAGGCCCTCTGCCATTGCTGCCTTTCTACTGATCCAGTGGTAACTCCTGTGCCAACAAATTAGAACTGATTTCTGATTAGTCCTTTCCCTCATTTCCTTTTAGTTGTTACACTCATTTCTGTCTTCCTGATTTGGTTCATAAAATATTTTCTATTTATATAGAGAGGAACTGATGTTTTCTTAATGAATCTAGCTAATACATTTATCATGTTTCTTTAAGTCAATATAAATTCAAACCATACCTTACAAACATGGCTTATAGAGTCCACCTATGCCATATCTACTCTTCTGAACTCATCTCCCTTTCCCCCAACTCATTCTACTCTAGTTACACAGTCCTTCTAGTTGTTGTGGAAGCATTCCCCTCCCCCCCCAGGGGTATTAGCAGTTATACTCTCAAACAATGTCTGGTCCATAGTAGGCATTCAATAAATATTTATTCCATAAATTATTACTAAAATCTTATTTTGGCACATAGGTAGGTTTTCAACACAACATACTTATAGTCTATTAAATAAAGAATTCTGTGCTGAATGCAAAATATGAGTATACATATAGTTCCTCTCATACTCTGGTAGGGGAAAAAAGAAAAATACATTTAAATAGAATACAAAAAAGTTGCRAATACATGATGAGTTCTACCATAAGAGATAAGAGAGTGAAAAGTACCACTTTTGTGGGTCACAGATAACCTTCATAGTAGAATGCTTTTACACTCAGAAAATCTGAAATAAAAAGTAACAGCAACAGCATGGACAAAGGCACAAAAGTATAAAACAACATATAACTGTCAGTGAAATTCAAAGAACTTAAGCTAGGAGAGCACATGGGTGTTCAGGCACCTTTCTGTTTTATGAGTATATGTCATATCCTTAAATTCACTGTAAACTCTTTCAGGGCAAAGACCTGTCACAATCTTATCTACTAAATATCTCAAATAACAAACAATAACAAGCTTTTAAAATTAATGTATTTTTGGTATAATTAATTCTAGAAGGAACAATTTTTATGCCTTAAAAATGGTTGTCCTTAGTTTTGTTTAATCAAGTTTTAAAAGTTATAGTGTTTAAAAAAATGGGAAAATTAAAAATAAAGTTGTTCCATTTATCTATAAACTTACCATACAATGATCCCAGAAAAGATTCATCTAAAGCATTGATCAGAAGGGCCTTCACAACTCTTTCAAAGTGAGTATAATGGTCACTAAAAGAATCTGAAATTAATTTAAAATAAATATTAGAATCTAGTAAATAAAATAATTCCTTGAATATAATAGGTTCCTTCTCTAATGCTAAGAAATCAATACTATTTATATCAGAAACAGCATAATCATCTTAGCTGCCTTACCGACTTGTGTAGTCACTAGGCCTCCATTTTCCAAATTTACTGGCCTCTAATTCAAAGTTTATAGATGTAATTTCAAAATTTCCCAAATGTATAAAGGGAAAGTTTTTCTGAGAATTTTAGGGGATATATTATGAAAAAAGTAAAAATCATACCCTGGATACTTAAGTTTTTTTTTGGTAGTTGGACAGAATGCATTTATTTATTTATTTTATGTTTATTTTTATGTGGTGCTGAGGATCGAACTCAGTGCCTCATGAATGCAATGTAGGCACTCTACCACTGAGCTACAGCCCCAGCCCCTTAAGTTTAATTATTAATTGGACAACTGGTATGAGAAAGGAGGAGACAAAGTCTTCAAAAATAGATTGTTTAATACACTGTAGCTGTAAAACATGTTACGTATAATATCATTCAGGAAACYGATACCCTACCCAGAACCACAATGGCTATAAAACTCCATTTCCCTTACTACTGTCTCAGATTTGGGATTTTTCACATAAATTTATAAAAGTTGTGTCTTTTCTTTCTCATGCCAGCTATATAAGCATGTTTTATCACTAACCAAGTTTCATACATGAAATCATATGTTGTAACAGGCCAGACAGTGATTCTATTCTTATTATTTTGGGATTTAGGGATTACTATGGGGTGTGGCAATGTTCTATATTAAATATAACCTGTTTTTTGATCCTGAATGTTCATTACAGAACATTTGCACTGCTTTGGGCACCTGTGAAGACATATTAAGGGCAGTCTGAGTATTTCTGGAAATGTGAAAGATGTTTATAAGAGATTAAATTACAATAAGACCTATTGTTGGCAACCATGAATTTTGACTTTCCTTCTGGTTGAAATGAAAAAAAGATGGAATTCAACATGGAAAAAAAACTTTATACTTATATTTTGGTTTCTAAAAGGGCTGTATAACTTTTTCAGGCTTTAGGGGAAATTTTAGAGTTCATTTTTCCTAAGGAGACACCTATAGGAAGTACAAAAGTGACTAAATAAAATAGTAATAAAAGYAAATAGCAATAGCAGGTAATTTTCACAGAAACCCTTAGACTTTAGAGTAACTATCATTACTGACAATTATAACAGAAGTAATCGCGGTCATTACTGACTATAGTATTTTCTTAATGATCAGTAGAGCATAATTGGGAAATAAAATATAGTAGTACTTCAAAAGGATTCAACTTTTACTAGATTTTCATCAGACTCTGAATATAGAATAGAGTTGGTATGCAATTTTATTTGCATTAAAATTTATAGGTGAATGCCTTCCTTTCCAGCTATTCAGAAGGCTGAGGCAGGACGATTGCAAAATTGAGGCCAGCTTGAACAACTTACCCAGACCCTGTTTCAAGATAAAATTTTTAAAAAGTCACCTAAACTCTATTTTACACTTCCAAAATATATTAAGGAAAATAAAATTCAATCCCTCTGCACCTAAGCTTAACTATCAAACAGCAACAGAATTTTTTACCTCACTGAATTTATCAGTGTTGAATGTGCTAATGCTCTGAACTGCCACTTTATTTCAAAGACCTTAATCACCTTGAGAGGTTTTTTCCCTAACCATCACCTCTCCTATCAATAGCAATCAGAATCACCTTCAAAAAGGCCAGGAAGAAGGCCATGACTTCATTTTGTTTTGAGTGGATGCAGGGTGTTGGTAGGATGATTTTTCTGGCATCTTAAATTGAAAAATAATAACATTATAGAGCAAGTAAATGCCAGACATCATTCTAAGCACTTACATGCATTTTCTTATTTCTCACAATAAGCCTCTGAGGAAATTGAAATACAGAGAGGATGAAAAAATTTTCAAGATCACACAGCTGGTAAGTATTAGAACAAGGGCTGGAACCTAGGGTGTCTGCCTCCAGATTTCAGGTAGATATTGTTATTCATGGTAGACTGATTTGATATTTCAGAATACAGAAGTTAAGCTTGGATAGAAAGTTGAAGAAAATAACATTCAAATTTCTTTTCTTAAAATTAAGGAAAAACAATGTGTAATAAATAACATCAAAATTTACATAATTAGAGGCAGAACAATATTCTAGGAATATTGCTAAAAACTTTCCCCCATGATAATTTTATTGTTTTTGTTTATTTGGTGGTGCTGGGAATTGAATCCAGGGCTTCCTTCATGTTAAGCTCACATTCTACCACTAAGCCACAGACCCCTCTGCACCCCATAATTTTAAAAACTGGAAAAAATAAGTAGAAAATTAATAATATTTGTGTTTATGCATAATTTGATTTTTCTAAAGTAGTTAACCAGTTTCATAATTTCACATTTATAGTCTAATATTCTGGTGGTTTCCATGTGTAATTTGTTATACATTAATTTCACATATAGGCTAGGACTTTGTTTCAGCATCATGTGCCCTTCTTACTGCTCTGGCTATCATTCTCAGGCCAGTAATACACTGTTTTACTTATTGCAATTTTATGTTAATTTTTTATATCTGGTAAGGAAAATTCTTTAAATTTACTGTTTTCAAAATTTATTTATTCTCATGGGTTTGTTATTCCAAGTGAATTTCAAGATTGTTTTGCAAAGCTGAACCAAAAATTAATTTCAGAATAACTTCTTGTGTTATGTATAGCACCTTTCAGAGCCATGCTTATTTTCCCACTTATACATGTTTTCTTTTCTATTTCATAGTAGGGTTTGTTTTTGTACCTATAAAGCCAAGCTTTTAAGATTAGACTCAGAAAATTTATTTTGGTTGTCACAGTACATGGAATTTCTCCTGATCATGTCTTCTGAATATTTATTGCTATATATAAGAAAACCATTGAGTTTTACACATTTATTAGGAATCTGGTTATTCTTCTGAAATCTTTTACTCATTTCAAAGTGGTCAGATTTTCCTGGATATTTGTGGGAGATGAGCTTCCTCTGATACTATAGAGCTGCAGATGATACTATTAAGGGATTCTTGGGCATTGTCTTTGCCATCTCTCTCAACCCTATTCTTACTACTATTTCAAGAAACAAAAGAAAGTTTATAAATATTCCCTTAGATAGAAGCATAGTGATGGTTKATGTACTTTCTTCCTGAATGGAGGTATAAGCCTAGTATAAGAAGCAGAGGCAGAGGGCTGGTGATGTGGCTTAAGCGGTAGCATGCTCACCTGGCATGCGTTGGGCACTGGGTTCGATCCTTCAGCACCACATTAAAAAATAATTAAAAATAAAAGATGTTGTGTCCACCAAAAACTAAAAAATAAATATTAAAAAATTCTCTCTCTCTCTCTAAAAAAAAAAAAAAAAAGAGGCAGAAAAAGAAATCGACTTCTTTTTCTACTCTAAAAAAATTCCCCTAGCCTGTATGTAGGGAAAAGGAATCTGAAGAAAACTATAGAAAGATATATGACATTACTCCTGCTCTCAAAATATTCATATTCCTTCTCTTAACTTCTGTAGCCTTCGTTAAGTAAGTTAGAAACTTAGAGTTTATATATACACATTAAACTTACTACATTCAAATAATATCTTTTCAATACAGATGCTCCTTGACTTATGATGGAGTTACATCCTAATAAACTCATTTTTAAGTTAAAAATGTTAAGTTGAAATTCACTTAACAATCCTAACTTGGGCTGGAGGTATAACTGAGGTCCTGGGTTCAATCCCCAGCCCCACGAAAAGACAAAAACAAAAACAAAACAACAACAAAAAACAAGAATACACTTAACTTGCCTATCATAGTACACTATATTATTTACCCTGGTCAGCATCTCAAGAGTGTTTCATATTGCATATCAGTAGTCTGGAAAAAGATGAAAATGAAAAGGTTTATGCTGAATGCATATGGCTTTTACACTACCGTAAAGCCAAAAATTCTTAGGCAAAACCATTTAAGTTGGGAACTATATGTTTTGCTTTAATGTCTTAATAAATTGTTCAAAACTCTTCAAGTTAGGAAATATTTTTATCTTCCTCATTTTAACTACTGACTCATTATACTATGATGTTAACTCTTGATTTAAAACACTGTCATGTAAAGGACATGTTCTGCTATTACTAATTTTTATATACTTGCTTTTTTATGAAAAAGCATGTATGGGAATGAATATTATTAAATGCCTTTCTATAATCTCAACAAATTATGATTTTTCCTCTTTTAATATTTTAACAACATATTCATATGATTCCTAAAATTATTTTTATAGTTCTGAAAAGAATGGCTAGAGGTGTTTTCTTTATTCTTGTAATTGGAAAAAATAGTTCTTTCATAAATCAATATGCAAAGTATTTTCATCAATTTATCAGGAATGTGAGCCTCTTTAATTTGAAAAAAAAAACACCTATTATGTGTTATGAAAGTAACTCCAGAATATTTTATCTTTGAATTCGTATCTTAAGTTTTCTTATCTAAAAATATGGTATAATGTTTATTACATTCAAATCTTCCTTTATGCCAGGCTTAGTGGCGCATGCCTGCAATCTTAGCTCTTTGGGAGGCAGAGGCATAAGGACTGCAAGTTCAAAGCCAAACTTAGCAATTTAGTGAGGCCATAGGTAACTTAAGAGAGACTGTCTCAAAATAAAATAGAAAGAGTTGGGGATGTGACTCAGTGGTTAAGTAGTACTCCTGTGTTCACAATCCCTGGTTACCCTCAGCCCCTGTCCCCGCCAAATCTTTCTTTACATATCTCACTAAAGTTATAAAATTTTCTTACTTGAGGCTTTTATCTGTGCATTACACTCTCCCCCTAGGAATTTAATCTTCTTCATAACTTTTTCTTCTCTACATTAGAACACCTCAGATTTATCCTATCTATCATTGATATGATTTTCAGTACTGTTAATTCTGTTCTTTACTGCTTCCAATATAGACTTTATTTCTGACTTTACACTTTGAATTTTCTGGGAATTCTTTGTCTTAGCCAGTTCCCTTTTACTTAAAATCAGGCTTTCCTTATGACTTTCTACAGCTTTACATTAGATTGCAAAGCAAATACTTTAGTTTTCTTCTGTTTCCTTTAATAAAACATTTTTCATGGTAATTTTTTTCCGAGTTTACCTTAACTGCCCCAACATGATTTCATTGCTATCTTTTGCTTATTATAGAACAAGGCAGGGGATCTAAGATTTAATATTTAACATAAGTGGTTGTGATACTTGTGATTATTGGGCCCATTCTTTATTGTGTTGATAGAGTGATTCTCTTTAATTGCTAGATGGGGATTAAGTTGATGTTCATTTAGTCTAATTTCCAATATTCTAGCAAGGCACTAATAAACCAAAATGTAATCTTCTCATCTTTATGAGGTTTTGTTGATCTAAATATATGATAGGATATAGATTTTATATATACAGATCAGAATTCTTTTCCTATTTTCCTCCCTGTGTATAATATTTTCAGTGTGTGAATATACAGATCTGATATGCAATGGACAACTGCCCCTCTCCTTTCCACCTTATCTTTTCTGGGAGTTGCAGTCTCAGAATAAACTAATAGGGATTGATGAGAAGGGAAGAAGACTATAATTGTCTCTAACTTCAACCATGTAGCAAGGAGGAAATTACACTATTTTGAGGTAATAGTTTTCTCAGAGCCAAATGGGAGGTAGTGAGAAAATGACAAAATATCTTCCTATAGGTTGACTGCTGACTGCAAAAGGCAAAACCGAACTAACCACTGATAGTGATCCTCAAATTGCATACTCAATTAAACTGGGAATATTAGCTTAATTACAATTTCCCCCTGGCCACAAAGTGGTGTTCATTATTCACTACATTGGTTATTGTTTTAATGAGAAAATAAATTTTTGATTTTATAAGAATTTATAGTAACTATCAGAACATAACCCCTTAGCAAATTGAAAATTGCTTATATTAAATTTTATTATCTTCACATATGGCTTAAAACTAATAAGTACAAAAAACACTAAAACAGAAGGTATCATTCTAGGTGGGGCATGATGGTGCATGCCTATAATCCTAGCAGCTTAGGATAACTGAGGCAAGTGGATCACAAGTTCAAAACAGCCTCAGCAACTTAGCAAGGTCCTAAGCAACTTAGTGAGACTCTGCTTCCAAAAAAGAAAAAAAATTATCACCCTAAAATATGGGGCTTTTTTGGTCTGATTTTGAAAAAATATGGTCATGTTCAATATTTACCTGAATCTTGAATTATAAAACTCAAAAGAGTCTTCAATCACTTACTCACTCAACTTATCTTAATCATTCAGCTAATAATGAGTTTCTATGTGTCATCAAGTCCCAAAGGTACTGGGAATATGAAGACAGGGGATGTTGGTTAACCAATCAATTTTATTTATTTATTTTTTGGAAGTGGGGACACTCACTTGCCTTATTTGATTGGGCTTTATGATTTTACACATCAAAAACTTTTTTTGATTACAATTCTGACCAATGTATAAAATTATGTAACCACCACAACAGCTGTTCCTCCACACTAAACTCCTTCACAATACATCTCAATCATTCAGTTTCATACACATTGAATCTGAGACCTCTGAAAGATACCGTGATTAAAAAAAAGGACAATAAAATGATAAAAATTTGTGACTTATGTTTAGAAATCTTTCATGGCAATAAAAGTTTGGGAATTTTTTTCCTACATATTGGAGTAATGGGGAGTCTTTCCAAGCACAAGCAAAACAAAGGTAGTTGAGGATGGAATACCTGAAAACATCAAAATTTACATGGCAAATGGAAAAGAAAATAATATTACAAGGGAAGCCAGGAGAGAGTGGTACCACAGAAAGTAAAATAGAAGAGCAACCTGAAAGTGAGAGTGGCCAATGGTAGCAATCAGCACAGCAATATTAGGTTAATAAAATAATTGAAGAGCATTTGGGTAAAGAAAAGGTTAACAATAACTTCAGTAAGAGTAATTTTACTATACTGCAGGAGTCTGAATACAGTACTTTGATTTTTACTGGGAAACATGTAACAGCATGGTAACAGAGTATTGAATGAGTAGTAGAATATACTAACTCAGGGGGGAAAGGCATGAATATGGTTACAAGTGAGGTCAATCTGCTTATAAAGATAAAATCATTGAATATAAGGAGAACTGAGTATATGATAGAAGTAGAAGTTTTAATTAAGAACCCACAAAATAAAATATATTGCATAAAAAGTCAGATATATTTTCCCCCAAAGCAGAGATGCTTAGTACTAAAAGTGAGCCCAGAATTCCTTGATTCAAAATGAAGTGAAAACTTATGTTCAGAGAAAAATCTGCACACAAATATTTATAGCAGCTTTATTCATAATTGCCAAAACATGGAAGCAACCAAGATATCTTTCAGTGGGTGAATGGCTAAACTGTTGTAAATCCACACATGGAATATTATTCAGATATAAAAAAAATGAGCTAACATGCCATGATTAGACATGGAGGAACTTAAAATGCATCCTGTTAAATGAAAGAAACCAATATGGAAAGTTATAGGCTACATGATTCCAACTGTGTGACATTTTAGCAAAGGCAAAACTGAAGACCTCCTCCCCCCAAAAAAAGAAAACCTCAGTGGTTTCTAAGAGTTCAGGGGAAGAAGGGAGGGATAAATATAGGATATTGTTAGGATAATGAAATTGTTCTGTAAGATACTGTAATGGTGGATACATATCATACATTTGTCAAAACTCAAAGAAAGTACAACACAGAGTCCTAATGTGATCTGTGAGTTACACTCAATGATAATATATCAATGCTGGCTCATCAACTATTACAAAGGTGTCAAATTAATCCAAGAGGTTAATAATAGGTGACACTGCATGTGAGGGAGTATAGGTCAACTCTTTGTACTCTCCACTTAATATTTCTTTAAATTACAACCTACCATTAAGATGAAAACAAGTAAAGAAGGAAGTCATTAAAACAAAAATCAGAAATGTAGGATAGGTAAGGAAGTTATAGTTCCTACATGTTGGACTTTTATTTCCATTAATTAGCAGGAGAAGATATGCTCAGGTATTTTTCAGCAAATATTTTATCACCTTCTAGATATATAATCCAGAACAATGGGGCACTTCACAATTAAGTATATATCTTTTTAGTACTCTATTAAATAAAATGGGGAGTACACACAAAACACTCATATCATATGCCAAACTACGATGCTTGTTTCAAGGGAAAACACTGTGCAACTCTTTGAGATGGGGCAAGGCATAATTTATCTTGAAACACCATTTTTAACTGAAAGAATGCTTTACAAAATATGATTATTCAAACTTGGGTATCTACCAGACATTTTTTCAAACAAACAAAAAACAATGAGCTTGTCACTTCAAGAACAATTCACAGGGTTTGTTTTCAATGATAAAAATCAAGTTTTTAGGTAGAAGTCAGAATTTTGAGAAACTTGTCTGAGCTAGTTTGAACTTGACAGCTTTACAATACCATAGCACTATTCTGATGAGATTGATAGTGATATCAGTGAAGGTGAATTTTAAAAAATTATATAATAAAATGGGCTAGCATCTGAAGGATCTGCAGTACCCAGTGAACTAGTATACTCTAAATGACTAACATACTATATTGCAAAATTATGCTTGGGTAAAAGAGTTATTCAAATTGCAAGACAGACAAATTAAATGATTATTAAAATACTCATCCCTTTTTCAGCTACCCATGTGAAGTAAAATTTCATGTGATTCAACCAAAACAACATATTTCAACAGACTGAATTAAAATTAGAGGTAAGAACCCAGCTGCCTTCTATTAAGCTAGACATAAAAAAATATTTGCAAGAATGTACAACTGCCATTCTTCTCTTTTCTGTAAATAGTTACTCCTCACAAAATGTTATTTCTGTTAGTGTAATGGGTTTAGTAATGTTATTTTAAATTAATAAATTAATAAATACATTTTAAAATTCTAAATTTTGTATCTCTCTAATGGTAAAATATTGAGTTAGCCCACTAGAAATAAAGGCTTATTGGGGTAATTTTTTGGAGGGTGGGGAGTGCTAAAAAGTGATTTACCACTGAACTATATCTCCTATCCTTCTCATTTTTTATTTTGAGACGGGCTTGCTAACTTACTGAGGGTCTCACTAGTTGCTGAGATTGGCTTCAAACTTGTAATCCTCCTGCCTCAGCCTCCTGAGTTGCTGGGATTACAAGCATGTATCACTGCACCTGGCAGAGGTCAATAATTTTTAAGAGTGAAGAGTTCCTAAGACCACAAGAATAAAATACTAGACTAACAAATTTAAGATATCTAAAAATGAAACCATAGTTCCTAATCAGTGGTTTATAACATGATATTAAAAAGGATGATTTGATGCTTGATACACTATAATGATTAGAACAAGTCATAAAAATATCTTGGCATTTAACTTACAAAGAGAATTCTGTTTTACTAATTTCAATTGAGAGGTAGTCAATTTTTTTTCTTGTTGATTTTTATTCTCTTCATCACCCTCCTCATCTTGTACTACAAAGTCATCAATAATATAATTATCTCCATCTTCATCATATTCAGAATCCTCCTCCTCCTCTTCATTACTGCTTGGGCAGGATTCCTTTTCAGAGTCCTAATTAAATTAAAATAAATGATTCAGTAAATTGTGGCTTTAAAATGCCTAGATGGATATGAAATTAAAAGATTAAATCTGAGAGCAAAAAATGATCCATAGAGTTAAGTTCATATTTTAAGGTTAAAATTAAATTTGTCATGTTATATGCTGAACTCTAAGGAAGACTATACCTTGCTGAGGTGATAAAATGTTTAAACATTAAGAACATAAGCAGTGAAGAACAGGAAAGACCATACAAAACAAATAGTCTTTCATTTTAAAAAACAGTGAGGTAGTAGGGCTTATGATTAAACAATATATTAGATGTGAGTACAAACAAGATCAAAGATACTTGATTAAAAATAAATTCTAGACTTACTGAGAAATAGAACAGACTCAGTACTCTGATTTCATAATATTTAAATCAATAAAAAATTTAAAAAATAACAAAACCAACAAAATAAAACACACCTCAAAATCTCTACCACTATTGCRTCTTTGGCGAGATCTTTGTTTTGAGAGTTCTTTCAACTTCTGGAGTTGTTCTTGCTTTCGAGTAGCTAATGATTTCTCAGGGTTTTTTAGCTCCATTTCCACTGAAGAACATTCATCTTCAACCACTCTTCGTGGACGTTTAACACCTACTTTTCTAATTAGGATATCACTGTCATCACTCTCATCACTGTCATACATCACAGAGGATATCCTTTTTCTTTTCACTCGCTTGATGTGTTCTTCTTCTAAATCCTCATCTATGATTTGTACAGTATGTTTTTTGAGATCCTTCTCTTCTTGACTCAAGTGCTTTTCATGATCTGTCAAGTCAATATTCCTATGGTTGGCTTTGTTCATTTCTTCTTCATATGTTGAACTGTTGCCAGTGTTAATGACATGCTTACTGCTGCTTCCTTCACTTTCAGTTTTGATTAGTTTAAGCACTCTTTCATTTTCTGGTGTGTTATTACTATCCAGCCCCTTGTTACTATCAAGTTCTTCATCATTATCAACACTTTCATCACTATCAAGCTGTTCGTCACTATCAAGTTCCTCATCACTATCAAACTCTTCATCACTATCAAATAACTGTGAGATACTATTTCTTTTAGTCCGCCGCCAATCAACTCGAGATTTTTGCTCAGGCACTTGAGTTTTAGAATTTTTCCTTGTTTCATGTCTTCTAACATGTACCATTTTCACTTAAGCTTCTACAAAATAAAGTTATTAGGGATATAATAACAATAACCAGATTAAGGCAATGAAATTAAATTTATTTGGCTTTATTAAATGGTCAAAAGGTAAAATCACATGAAATATCTGAGTGAAGATGGCAGAATAATTATTCAACAAATAATTTATTGACATTTATGAAATAACTGTATTACCATCTGTTCTGAATTATGATATATGTTGTGATAAAAGTGATACATAGAAAAATCATGGTCCTGTATCCTTCAAAAAATTATTATCCATGTGTAAAACTAATAGAAACATGTAATTAAGAAAAATTCAAGATAACTCAGTTACCAAACGAATAATAAAAATAACTATGATGGTCATGTAAAGATGCAGTGAGGTAAAAGGGCAAATGATTTACAGAAGATTATCCTGAACAAATGTATGTGATCAGACAGAATTCTCAAGGATTGGTTATATCTTAAAAAAAAAAAAAGGAATTTCAGGCAGATAAAATGGTAAGGGTAAAATTTTAGCATTAATAAAGAACACGTTATGTTCAGTAAATGAGTTTGAAAAGGGTATTTAAAAAGAAAATTCCAGTCTGTTCAGTTTGGAAAAAAGGAGAGAAAAGTGAAATGAAATTACCAGGATTATTCATCCTGAATGTAAAGGTTTCTGAACAGAGAAATAACATGAATTATAAAGGATCAACTGACATGAAGAAATTTATAAAGTARCAATTGACATAAAAGACAGTGCAATACTGACACAGCCTATCCCCTAAAATTGTAGCTTCTACAAACCTTAGTAAAATGGCAATGGTCTTAAACCATTGAAAGATACAGTGTAATCCAACAGAAAACTTACTAACAATCAATAATGAAGTCAAGTCAAGTCAAGTCAAAAACAAAAGAGGTTCATAGTGAAGCAGATCATGATATGGGGGAAAAAAAACCCCAAAGCTGTCAGTATATGATTAAGAAAAGGGTGAATTCCACTAAAATTATCATAAGCATATATTAAAGGATCAATTAGCAATAGGTAAGATAACTGGAAAATCAGTAACCTATATGTACTTCTGTGGTTGCTAAGCAATAGAAGTATGATTACAATGTAATGAGACAGATCTCATAATAAATGTATTGGAACTTATTCAACTGAATGTGATCCCCTTTGAAGAAATCACCTTATGAAGCTGATTATTCCAATATTTCCATGATGGCACAAAATATAACTAGAGTTTTTCTATAATCCAGTTATAAAAATATAAATTAAAAAATATGAAACTAATCATTCTAAAATGTTTATTCCAAAGAGTGGTTTCAACATCCACTTTATTCACTTGTCTCAGTTATAAAGGGTTGTTAGTAGGTTCCAGAAATAAAATCTTATTTTAAAAATATTTTATTTTTTAGTTGGAGATGGACACAATATTTTTATGTGATGCTGAGGATCGAACCCAGGGCCTCGCACGTGCTAGATGAGTGCTCTACCAATGAGCCACAACCCCAGCCCCAGAAATGAAATCTTCATAAGATAAAGATAACTACCATTAAAGACTTTTTAAAATGTGTGGCATACTCTGAAGGCAATTCCACAACAGAAAAGTAAAAGAAAAAAAAAAAAAAAAGAACAATGGCAGTATTAGTAGAACAAATTAATAGCTTCCTAAGATGATTACTTTGGAGAGGGGAAAAAAACAACCCATTTGATTGTATAAATTCTGGTATATTTATAAGGTAATATGTCTGCCTAAAATGGTAATATAAAATCAGAATCATATAAATAAATATAAAATCATACAAAATCAAGAACAACAGAGACTGTAAGATTATAAACCAGAAATTATCTTTATAGTGTTATATACCAGAAATTCAGTGTAGGCTGAAGTAGAACCTTAAAACAAAATATAATCATATTGTTTTATAGACCAAAAGTATGCTACTTGAAAGCACATTTGGATTAAATCTTAAAGAAGACTTATATTAAAATCAATGAAGATAAAAATTTTGTGTGGTCAAAATTACCCTTTCTAAGAATGCTTATTTTGTGCTCTTCAAAGCATTGTTTTGTGTATATCACATTGCTTTACAATGTCTACCTAGTTTCTTTTCTAGTTTTGAACAGATTACTGTTTCTTTGGTTAAACACTAGATAAAAGGCAGCTTTTGAAGCTCTTGACTACAAAGAAGTATTTTTAAGCACAGATAGTTAAATTTGCATAAGCCAACTAGGCATATGTGCATTATGCTACATGTAGCATTACTTATTATTACTTAAATAGAAAGGCTTATTTCTTAACTGGAAGAAATAATGAAAAAACATTTATGATCACAAATAACAAATATGGGTTCAACAGTTACACTAAAGCAAACATGGACAGTAAAAAATATTAAAATGAAAGATAATTTTTATTAGTACCCAAAGCAGATTCAAGTACACTAGATGACCATTTTACAAAACTATAACATACTCAAAAGACATTTATTTATCATATAATAGGTTATTCCTCTGAAAATTGTAGAAAAGATGAAGAACATCACACTATTATAAAGACACATTATGTCTGTACATCATTAAGGTATCATTAAAAGAAACCCCCGTGTATTTATAAATGTTCAGTATATATTCATATTTATTTTTCAACTCTGACAATGATCCTATGAAGACAATTCTCTCTTCATTTATAAATATCAAAGCCAATGACATAGAGTTTAAATGACTTACCAAGATCACACAGCTTGTTAGTGACAGAGTAGGGATTAGAAACCAGGTCTCCTGATTCCCGGTCCAGTGCTACACAATGATTGCTGCCAATATCATATTTGTACAGGTAGTAAAAATTAAGCTTTTAATATATTATTATTTTATCTCTCACTCATGCTAAATTTTAGTTTCAGGAAATAACCATCAGAATGGCTTTGGTTTACAGACATGCTTTTTTATTATCCAACTGAATTTTAGTGCACATGAGTTAGGACAGAAACTTCTGGAAATCATTTATCCATTAGGCAAGAAAAGAATGTGCAAAAGAGATGAAAATTTGCAAACTTCCCTCTATCATCTTATTGATGAAACTGGTCACAAAATTTAAGGGAATACTCAGTGAGCCTAAAAGTATAAATTTCAAAGAAAGGCAGTCTCTCACCAGAAAAATATTTATTTTGGAAAACTGCAGAATTTGCTTGAGGAGGCACATTTAAATAAAATAAATCATTTCACTTGGTCACTTCAAAATTGCCAGCATCTATCATATTTCAAAATTGCCACTTATATCAGTAAGGTAAAAAAATTGTTGAAGAGTAGAATTTGAACATGGTTGGCTCCATTAAAAATTGTGGATATCTTTACTATATTATCTGGGAAGGGAAGAATGATGACAGAGGGAAAAGGTGAATGAACCTGGGAAGAGACATAAGAAGATAAAGCCGGGATGATGGGTAACACATCTTTAGAATTTACTCAAAGAAGAATCCATGCAAATGGCCATAATTTCTGTGTAGGCTGAAAAAATACTCAATTTCTTGAAATGAGAATTTTATCAAGCTTCTGTAATGATACCTTACCTTTAGACAAAGAAAAACAAAGAYTCCAAACAGAAAGCATTAAATAAGCGAATGGAGAAGATAAATACTATTACATCTTTGTGCTTCATAATTATTATTATGTAAGATGTATGTATATAGCTATGCTGTCAAAAAATATAAAGGTAATTATCCATATCGCCTGTGTTTTTCTCATAGTAACTCTATGATTAAAAAAGGTACTGTGATGACAGCATTTCTCATCAGAAGAAATATTCTTTCTTCTAGAGTTTAAGAAAAAAATCTGTATAGAAATCACCTACTTGCTATACGAACAATATATGCGGTAGTTTACACTAAGATTTTAGGTGCAGTGAAACCCCTGGCCATTATTTGAAATTCCACCAGAAGGAATTCATTTTTTTTTTTTTTTTTTTTGTAAAACATCACCTCTCCATGATGTTTTCTTTTCTATGGCAGTTTAGAGAGGAAACATGAATAAACCAAAGAAACAATTATCAAGTATCTACCAAAATGCCATCACATGCTCAAAGCAGTGGCATTAGTGAAAAAATAAACATGCTCTCTGCTCCCAAAGAGCTCACAATCTGATGAAATTACTAGGGGCACCAAAAACAAGTCAGCATAATACAAGATTTCATGGCTACAGTGTATGATTAAGTTCTTATCACACCAGTGTGAATAAATTTATCATAGTCCTTCCATTGGCTGGAAAAGAGGACAGCACAACACGACAGAAATAGGAAATGGGAAAATAAGAAACACATAAAAAGAGGAAATGCTAATTCCTCCCACTTAGAATCACAGTCCTGCACGACACAATTTCACAGAGTGGATTCTGCCAGCTTGGCAACCAGGATAACTATATCATTTATTAAAATCACAACATTGTCGGTGCTTTGCTAAATCCAGCACGGATGAATGGCAGACGGAGGAAAAAGATCCTCCCGGGAGTTAACATCAGTGTTATTCTCACGATTACAAACCTGGCTCTTTGGTAGGACGCATGCACCCAGTGCAGCCTGCGCGCTCACTTGCGCGTTCACTCTACCTCCAGGAGGGAGGGACAGTGTAGCTAAGAAACTGGACCCTCAGAGATTCCCGATGACGTGAGCCGGAGGACAGAAACCCCCAGACCGCGGAGAGGCTCTGCACCCAAAAACCAAACAAGGGTCTGGAAAAGCCGGTACCCGAATTACGGACCGAGCACTTCCTCTCGGCGGAAATAACGGGCACCGCGCCCACAGCGCACAGCAGAGGAGGAAGGCTGGTAGAGAAAAGGACTGACGGGCGCCGTCAGGTCCACCCAACAGCGCCCGCGGGAATTTTACTCTTGGCCGGCCGGGAAGCGCGGTAAACCCCGCCCTTCTAATACACCATTAGCTGAGGGAGCAAGGGCAAGTCCCCGCCGCGAGCTGGCCCCGCGCCGCCCTCGCGCTCTCACCTTTCAAAGCGCCTCCGCCTTTGCCTCCGCCTCCGCCTCCGCCCCCGCCCCGGGCACTCGCTACAGCAGAGGCGCCCACCCGCTTCCGGGTACCAGGGGAAGTCCCGCCTCTAGGCGGAGCAAGAGGCGGAGCCAGGTGGCGGGAGGGGTTGTCTTCCGGGAGCTTGTGCCGGGGGAGGAGCGGCCACTGCGCGGCACTCAGGGAGCTGTGCGGGGTTCTGGTTGCAACTGAGGTGGGAGAGGGGCCCGGCGGGCTGAGAGGGGCCGGGAGGACTGCACAAGCCAAACCCGGCGTGGGACAGTGGGGCTGTGCGGCGGGAGGGCCCGGCAGTTGGGGAAGGAATCAAATCGTTCCCCTGGGGAAGGTGACTAGTCCCCCGCTCTTCCGCTCTCTGCCGTAACTTTGGGGTGTGGCAGGGATTAGTGACCAGGGACCTGGGTGTGAAGGAGAGTTGTGGCCACGATGGGGTTATAGTCTTGTTCCCTGCTGCTGGCTTGATAACACACATGTGTGTAATCCAGATTATCCGCGGTGACTTGGGGCCTCCTCTACTGCCCATCTAAGTTAAAGGCCTGCTTTCTCAAACTTATTTTTAAACCTTCCTTTGCCATCTCTTTGCCAGCTAAACCCAGTCAGGGCTACCAAGTTTCTCAGAAGGTTAAAAGGTCCAGAGTGTAAGACTTCGTTAAAGTGAGTCAAGAGAAGGAAGGATTTTGTGGACTACTACAGTGTGAGTGCGGGGTGAGTCCTAGAGTCTCACTATGTCAGGGAAACGGAAGCGAGTGGTGTTGACTATTAAAGATAAGCTTGATATAATAAAGAAACTTGAAGACGGAGGTTCTTCCAAACAACTGGCCGTGATTTATGGAATTGGTGAAACAACAGTTCGGGATATAAGGAAAAATAAGGAAAAGATTATAACTTATGCAAGCAGTTCTGATTCCACAAGTCTTTTGGCCAAGAGGAAATCTATGAAGCCATCCATGTATGAGGAACTGGACAGAGCAATGCTGGAGTGGTTCAACCAGCAGAGAGCTAGAGGGAATCCCATATCTGGACCAATCTGTGCAAAAAGGGCTGAGTTCTTTTTTTATGCTTTGGGAATGGATGGTGATTTTAACCCCTCTGCTGGTTGGTTAACTCGTTTTAAGCAACGGCACAGCATTAGAGAGATTAACATTAGAAATGAAAGATTAAATGGAGATGAGACTGCTGTGGAAGATTTTTGTAATAGTTTTCGAGATTTTATTGAACAAGAGAATTTGCACCCTGAACAGATCTACAATGCGGATGAAACTGGACTTTTTTGGAAGTGCTTACCTTCCAGGACTTCAGTAGTCAAAGGTAAATGCACTATCCCTGGACACAAGTCAGTTGAAGAAAGAGTCACTATCATGTGTTGTGCCAATGCAACAGGTTTACACAAACTTAAACTCTGTGTTGTGGGCAAAGCAAAGAAACCTCGCTCTTTCAAATCAACTGACACTTTAAACCTCCCAGTCTCTTATTTCAGCCAAAAAGGTGCATGGATGGATCTTTCCATTTTCCGACAATGGTTTGATAAGATTTTTGTGCCACAGGTTCGAGAGTACTTAAGATCTAAAGGCTTGCAAGAAAAGGCTGTTCTATTATTGGATAACTCACCAACACATCCAAATGAAAATGTCTTAAGATCAGATGATGGCCAAATATTTGCCAAATATCTGCCACCTAATGTGGCTTCATTGATTCAGCCCTTGGATCAGGGAGTTATAGCAGCAATGAAGAGAAACTATCGTGCTGGTCTTCTCCAAAACAACTTGGAAGAAGGAAATGACCTGAAGTCATTCTGGAAGAAACTAACTCTGCTTGATGCACTTTATGAAATATCAATGGCGTGGAACTTAATAAAACCGGTATCCATTAGCAGAGCTTGGAAACAGATTCTTCCTCATGTAGAAGAGAAAGAAGGCTTGGATTTTGATGACGAAGATATTTCTGTGAGTACTGTGGCCACCATTTTGCAGCATACCAAAGGATTGGAAAATGTAACTACTGAGAATATTGAAAAATGGCTTGAAATAGACAGTACTGAACCAGGCTATGAAGTATTAACTGACAGTGAAATCATCAGAAGAGCACAAGGTCAGACAGATGAATCCAGTGAAAATGAGGAAGAGGAAATAGAACTAATTCCAGAGAAACATATAAATCATGCAGCTGCTCTCCAATGGACTGAAAGTTTATTGGATTATCTAGAACAACAGGGTGATATGATTCTACCTGATAGACTGGTCATACGTAAACTTCGAGCCACCATCAGAAATAAACAGAAGATGACAAATTCTAGCCAATAATGACATTTCATTTTTATCATTGTTTTAATAATTGTATTTGTGAGCATACCCCTTTTGCAACATGGCTTAATTTTCTTTATGTTCTGACTTCTCAGGCATAGTCCTATGAAATACAGGTATAAAAACATCTGTCCAAGTATGGTGACACAAACCTATAATCCTAACTGCTTGGGATGCTGAGGCAGAAGGATTGCAGGTTTGAGGTTAGCCTTAGCAATTTAGTGAGACCCTGTTTCAAAATAAAAAGGACTGGGGATGTAGTTCAGTGGTAGATTGCCTCTGGGTTTAGTCCCCCAGTTTTACAAAAAAGCAAAAAAGAAAAAAATCTAAGATTTGAGGATTTTTTTTTTTTTGCTACCTGTTGTCTCTTGTCCATTTATTTGTTCAGATTATCAGAAGCTGATTATGTATAAACTATGTGTATACCTGTATTGACTTTTGTAAGTCCACCATTCTCCTTTCTATAACAGTGGCATTTCCTGTGATTTTTAGTAATAGTTAAGAGATAACAGTGAACAGCTTTAGCACTTTTCTAAAATCTTTTGCTTGAATTTTCAGGGATGCCACAGCAATCTTTTCTTGTAACCATCTTAAATGGTGGTCTGTTTTGTGTTTGTATAGTGTAAAGGTTGAAAAAGATCTGTATTATAAGATTTTAGGATGACCTATAGTAATTTAAATTAAGTTCAATAATGATGGGGAAATGATGATTTATGAATTATAAAAATAAGAACTAATGCTTCTGTTGTCTCATATTTGTGTGAGTGGCAAGATGATGATATTCTGGAAATCAAATAAATATGGTAGGTAATTGCTAAGTTACGTAGAAACTTGGAAAGCTGATATTTAAAAGAAGTATTCTAATCAATTTATTTGTAGTAAGAATTTTGGGAACTTTATAGTTATTTATAATAAGAATAATAGGTTTCTTTTAATTTAGTCATTTTTTTATGAATTGGGAAACAGTATAGGTTTATTTATTCATCTTATTATAGTACAGGTTTTTTAATGTTACATGTTATGATTTGAGCTCCCAACTTATATTTGGGGTACAGCATTTTGGGAATTTGAAAGTTAAGTTTGTTTTTAATGAACACTTGGGAAATTGTCTAAAACTTGGAAAACTTTGTCATACTTGGCTCTTTTATTTGTTATGAAAAAAATAAAGTTTTTACTATTTTAAGTAAGTCATGTTTGTATCCTATTTTATGAAGAAAACAGAATAACTATGGGAAGTGCCAGACACTAAAGAATTTATTGTTTATTGTTTTGACATATGTGAAAAGGGATTAATTATTTCTGCTAAAATTTAATGTAAGTCAGAATTTTAATAAATTTTCCTGATGAACTATTTAAGACTTGAAAATACTTTGCATGTATTAAAACTATCATAATTTGTAATTTAAAAGCAAAATGTTCCCATATTATATCATATTTGGGCCCAAACTTTAAAAATAATAGTAAATCAGAATTTTTCTCAGTCATTTTTGAAAGGTTAACTTTTTCATTGAAATATTTAACATTTTATGCCTTAAAATTCTAAAACTTTAAAAGTATTTTTAGCTTTCCATAATTTCTGTTATCTTCATTTTTGTATATGTCTACATTTTTAAAAGACTTAACTTGTGATGAAAGTATTTAAATGTGTTCACTCCATAAATTTTATCACTCCACCAGAAGTTAACATGTATATTGAATCAGATGAAAAAGTTTTGCTATTAATTAAATAGTATATAAAATAATTTTTGTAAAATGAAAATATGTACTATAAACCTTCTTGGAATTTTGTCTGGATTTGCTGTCTTCAGAACTCATCCTTTTGGTGAAATGCAGCTGTGTCATTGCCACCTAGTGGTGAAACTGATGTTACTGCTAAGCTTTGTGGTTTTAACAAATATCTAGTAAAAGGTTCATCGTGGCTGTGAGTGTGAATCTTGTGACTTTATCTAGATTAAGAGCGCCATTCTTTCTTTGGTTTACTGCTGCTTGCTCTTCTCTGAAATATGAAAACAGGGGTAGGTTAGCAGTTTTGTTTCTGATCATTATGTTCTTTATTATAAAAGCTGCCAATAATTGAATGCTGTTTTATGATGTAAGCAGTGTACTTTATATCATTTAATCCTATAAATATGAGTAGATAAAATATGCCTATCTCATATTCTTAATTTCTGAAGGTCATTTGCCTATAGGTAAGAATTTTGGAATTAAATTTCTATGCTTACATTTATCTAAACTAGACCAACCTTTTTTGCCGTTTGTCAATATAATGTTTATTTTTTGCCATTCCCCGCTTCCCAATATTTTTATTATAGCCATTGCCCTTTCCTTTAACCTTTTATGAGATTGTCTTCAACCTTCTCTGTAGTATTTTATGACTTTAAAAAATGGGCAACTTAATAGCAGTGATTTTCAGTTAACAGTGCTCAGTGAGAATCCTTTCCCATTTCAACAGTTTGAAGTTCAGTGTTGGGAAAAATTGAGCTGGCCATAAAAATAACACTTTCATAATATTTTATGATTCTCAGGTTATTTTCGTGTACATTAACTCATTGTCCAAGAAATAAAATAAAATTTTGGTTGGAAAAGTAAAAACCTTAAATTAATCTTAACTGAGAAGTCTTGCTGAGGCTTTACTATGTCAGTCTTCTTCTTTCCTACTATTTGCAGTCTAGAGAAATAGTGTTTCCTTTTTGGTTTGAGGTTTTTTTTTTTTTTCCTTTGTAGTGTCAGGGTTAAACCCAGGGCCTTAAGCATGCTAGTCAAGCATTATACCATCCCCAGCTCATAAAGGAATTGTTTTTTAGATTTACAAAAAAAMCCCCAAAGTTCTAGACTCTCTCTAAACCTTTTTATTTCTGTTTGTAGCTTACTAGTTATTTTCTGAGCTTATCTTTCTCTCTCTAGTAAAATTCACTAAACACAATAAGGAACAACCAATGTTATTTTTTTTGGCTCTTATTAGCCATTTTCTCAGCAGAGCTTCTTAAATAAGCATTATTTTAGTATAGATAACTTCCAAGGAGGCTATACTGTATATTTCAGGATTTTTAGCAACATCCCTCACTTCCACCAACCACACCCCATCCCTTTTCTGGTTATGACAACCCAAAATGTCTCCTGATAACTGCCAAAGATCCCACAGGAGTCAAATTTCTTCGTGGGTGAGAACCATTTCCCTAGAACTAGTTCATAGGCACTTGGTCTGCTTTCTAAATCATTGAAATTATATTTACAAAATGTTCTTACCACCATTTCATCTTCCCAGCATCTGGTAGTTATTTCTTTGATGCCCATTTTCTGCTCACTCATGTCATATACTAGGTTTCATAATAATAGCACCACACACATAATAATAGCACAAGATATCTGTTTTGATTTGAGTAACTCTAGTGGATGATAAAGAGAAATCATTTATCCATAARTGAATTTTCTGAGCTACATTTGTAACCTACTTAGTCGAATCTCCTTTTTTACTTATTGAGGACAATTTTTCTAGAACATTTATTTGCAAATATTTACCTACTCTAAAATAAAAAAAAATTAAAAATATTATTCCCAATTTCTTCTTGTAGATTTCAGTGAATGACCATGAACTTGAAACTAAATCCTTAGACTTTTTTTTTGTATTAGAAGAATGACTCAAACAGGCTACTGTAGTATTTCAATAATGAATATATGACAAATGCTTTCCAAGATTGATGCATTTCAGCATATGAACTGGTTCTTAAAACTAGAACTGTTTTAAGGTTATTTAGAAATATATGAATATGTGTTCATTTACTTTTATAAACATATAAATAATCTCTTGTTAACACATTCCAGATATTTACACATAATACTCATATGATGTAGAGATGATTGATTCGCTATCTTAAAAAATGGAAAGCCTCCCAGGCTGGGAGTGTAACAGAGGTAGAACATTTGCTTAGCATATGAGAGTCCCTAGGTTTGATCCCCATAACTGCAAATCAAAAACAGTGACAACAAAAAACTGAGAGAACTCAAATACGTATAAAAGAAAGTTAAAGAATAAAATGCTCAAAAATGATTATACTCAGGGGCTGGGGTTGCACTCAGTGGCAGAGCCCTTGCCTTGCACATATGAGGTACTGGTTTTGATCCTCAGCACCACATAAAAATAAATATATTGTTTCCATTAAAAGGTTTTTTAAAAAATATTTATTTTTTAGTTTGAGGTGGATACAATATCTTTTTGTTTTTATGTGGTGCTGAGAATCGAACCCAGTGCCTCATGCATGATAGGTGAGCGCACTACTACTTGAGCCACATCCCCAGCCCAAGAAAAAGTTTTTAAAAAGAGATTATATTCAGTATTAAAATGTCTAATATAGGAGTGTTATCTTAAATGAGTTTTAATAAATTCTCTATTTTTTAGTTTATTTGAACTGTCTCAGGTCAATAAGATGAGTATCTCAGGCCATAATAAGATTGATTATCACTAATGTGAAATTAACTTTGAATGTTGACATACGTTTATAATTTAGATGAATAGATAATTTTTACAACGAATTTCCTAATTAAAGTTGTTACCTGTAAAAACATTTTCAACCTTAAGTTTGTGAAGCAGTTTTCAGATTTGTAAAATATTTCTATAGGAATTTTTTGCCCTTTTAGGGAAACAGACTTAAATATAATCTCAAATTGTGAGAGACACAAAGTATTAACTCAGTATTTTATGACAACTTGTGGAAACAGTCACCAAACCTTTTTTTTTTAACTAATCAATAAGCTGTAATGGTTTTTTGTGAGACTTATATTCTTACAATATCAGTAACAATAGACCTGCATTTTTTTGAGTTTCTAATTAAAATGCTAACAGGTTGCAGCTTCTTATTCCTGTTAAAAGTTTCTAGCAAGGCAAATTAAAGAATTTGTAGATGAGGCTTATAATTATCTTTGCTCAGTGGGCCACAAGTAGAAGAGTAACAGACTACCACACATTTCATCTGTTGGTTATAGATAAAAAAAAAAAAAAACCCAAGAAATCAGTGTAAAGGACTCAAGTTATGATACAGTGGTATCTCATTCTTGTTTTAATTTGCAGTTCCCTGATGATATTTGATGTCGAGTATCTTATGCTTATTAGTCATCTGTATGTCTTTTAGTGAGGTATATGTTCATATCTTTTGCCTAATCTCCCTCCTCCCTCTCTCTCTCTCTCTCTCTCTCTCTCTCTCTCTCTTCTTTCCTTCTTTCTTTCCTTCCTTCCTTCCTTCCTTCCTTCCTTCCTTCCTTCCTTCCTTCCTTCCTTCCTTTCTTTCTTTCTTCTCTCTTTCTTTCTTTCTTTTTTTTTTTTTTTTGGCAATGCTGTGGATCCAATTTGGCCCCACACATGCTAGGCAAGCACCCTTCCACTGAGTTATTATCCCCAATCCTTTTGCCCACTTTTAAATTGGGTTGTTTTCTTATTGTTGAATTTAAGATTTCTTGGTTTATTTTGGACAATAATCTTGTAGCAGATATGTGTTTTGCAAGTATTTTCTCCCAGTCTGACTTGCTGTGTTATTTTATTAACAGTGTCATTAGCAGAGCAATTTTAACTTTTCAATTTTTATGAAGTTCAACTTACTTATGTTTTCTTTCATGGCTAGTAGTTTTGGCGTTTTATCTTAAAAATCAACACCAAATCAATGCTACCTAGATTTTCTAGTGTGTCACCTTCTGGGAATTTTATAGTCTTACATTTTCCAGTTAGGGCCATAAACCATTTTAAATTAATTTTTAGGAAAGATCTAAAGTCTGTGTCTAGATTTATATAGTTTTGCATGTGGACATCAGTTTTCAGCATTATTTGTTGAAAAGACTCATCTTTCAATTTTAAGTTGTCTTTACTCCTTTGTCAAAGATCAGTTGACTACATTTATGTGGGCCTATTTCCAAGTTCTTTATTTTTGTCATTAACCTATGTGTCTATTCTTTTGCCAATGACCCTAGTTTGTTTTGTTTTGTTTTGTTTTTGGTGTTGGGTATTGAATCCAGGGGCATTTAACCACTGAGCCATATCTCCAGTCCTTTTGTTTTCTTAAATATTTTTTTTAGTTGTAAATGGACACATTATCTTTTTATGTATTTATTTTTATGTGATGCTGAGGATTAAACCCTATGCCTCAGTTGTGAGGCAATTACTCTACCACTGACCTACAGCCTCAGCCCCCTAACCCTTTTTTTTATATTTATTTTGAGGCAGGGTCTCACTAAGTTGTTTAGGACCTTGCTAAGTTTTGAGGCTGACTTTGAACTTGTGATCTTCCTGCCTCAGCCTCCTGAACCACTGGGTTTATAGGCATGTGTCACTGTACCCAGCAACAACCCTGTTTGATTACTATAACTTTATAATAAATCATAGTCAAACGATGTCAGTTCTCTSACTTTATTCTTTTGCTTCAGTATTTTTGCGCTTGCTATTCTGTG